CATCTTAAAATTTTAAATTTTCAAAAACCGATAAAAAATACAGATCAATTTTTATATTGGAATTTAATAATAAAAATCAAAAAGTAATTGATTGACCCGCAATTTCACCCGTTTCAATAAAGTTCCGATTGACATTCGAAGATAAAAACAGTAAACAAATATATAAAGGTTGATATCATTTGAAATGGTAAAAAGTTCAAAAGAATTTTTTCCATAGTGTTATATATATAAAAATCAAATGAAACATTTTACAAGTAGAGGTGGATAATAAATTCTTTAGCCTTGTTAAAAATAACTGATCGTTTTTGTCCTCTTTGGGTTTGGTTTTTTTTTCCTACCCTACACCAATCTTCACTACCCTTCTTCATCGTGAATTTATCACCGACAAGAAAATTCATTTCACTAATGGAGACGTTTATTATTTTCTAAATAATCATGTTCTTGTTTTGTCAATATTATTTTTCCATTTTCACAAGCATAAATTATCGTTCAATAAAAATATACCGAATAATATAAACAAAAATAAAGATGTATATGGAAATGAGTTGAATTATTGATTCTCCAACTAAAAATACATACATGAGAGAATTAGTAGCAGTATGGAAGCATGAGTAAGTGGTTAAAATGTAATTAGTAAATTTATTTCCGATGACTAAACTAGTGTAGTGTAGGTGGATATCATCTCCTTAACTTTAGAAATTCGAGAAGAAACGAGTGAGTGTCGAGATTAGGTCAGCCTATAAATACGAGGCGCCAGCCAACCTAGCAGTAGTGTTGAGTTGCTGCTTTGGACGGGTTAATAGCCTTGCGTAACATTGCCAGAGTGTGGTGTATTATATGAGATAGGAGCAGAGAAGAGAAGAAGAGGAATAGCTAGGAAGTGGTCAATGAAAATATGAAGTGTGGTAGGGAGATTCACGTTTTCAGTTAATCAATGAATTCAGTGAATAGCATCGGAATTCACAATTGGATTTATCATCTATACCCATGACTCTGTGCCGTATTATTCAGGTGCAGCTATGGATCCTATACATTTTGAGAGAGAAAAAGAAAAAACAAACTTATCGTTGATTCTTTCATTATTCTTATTTCTAGATACGTCGAAAAATTTAATTATAATTTGAAGGAAAAAAAAAGAACAGAACAAAGTTGATTACATATGTAAATAGATTGGTGAAGTAAAATGAAAAATTAAGCAAGAATTACATCAACTATTCTTGAAGTTTACTGAAAAAGCTTCTTAAACTGAATAATAAATTTTTCTGGTGCAACTTGCTTTTTATTTATTGATGGGATCTATGTTTATTCCTGGTTGTTAAGTGTCTATTATTCATCTCTTAATTCATTTATCCTATATTCTTTACTATTTTTAAATTTACTATTATTAGTTAATGATAAATATTTACCTATTTTCTATATAATATACAAAGTATTATCTCGTTATGTATAATACACAATTCTGAATAAAAGTTTCATCAGCATTTTTTTTAAAAAGAAAAAACAAAACAATTTTCAAAAATAATATATTTATATTATCTTTTATTACGCTAAAAATTCTATAAAAATTTTACAGGAAAATATGTATTTTATTAATGAAAACTCTTCAATAAAATTTTAGATATAATAATTTTTATAAAGCTTTTCATTTCCTCTTAACATATGTTACTGAATCGGCAAACGGTGCATTCGACATTGCTGTTATATAAAATAACAGAATAATCATAAAATATATATCCCTATATGTATGTACTCATTTTTTATTATTAAAAAAATTATGCAATTATTTTTCTCTCTCTGGAATAATGTAAACAAAAATTTAAATTATTTATTGTAATGTAACAGTACAAGATTTTTATTTTAAAAAATCATTTAAAAATAAAAAAGACAAAGGTAACAAGATTCGAATTAATAATGAAATTAGATTGTATTTGACAAATTTGTTGTCTGATCTTGTTAGGCGTATTTCCAGAATCGAGGTTAACCCGTCCGTTTGCACGTATAACGGACGCCAAATAAGATTGCAAGAGTTAAATTCAAGAGAAGGTGTCGGTTCGTGTTTGGAATTGTGTCTTACAGCTTTGAACTAAGTCTCACCTAAGTTGTTGATGGTCATGAAGAGAAGAGAAAGACGGAAGAGACTGAGTTGGTGAGTGAGAGAGAAGTTGTATCAAGTTTGACTCCCAGAAACCACCGTGACGTTCTTGTTGCTTCAGTTTCCTGTCACGGTTTCCTTAAGTCTTTCAAATCCTCTCAATACCATTGAAGCAGGTTGTGCTTCCGTGTTTCTACTCATTGGCCCCAACTTTCATCTTATTTCAACTTGTTTCGTCACTTACACCAAATTACTTTTGCAACATTCTATAAGCAATTAACAAAAGTAAGGTCGTTCATGCAAAAGGAAAATACTTTTATTGTAAATTACAGTGGTATTTCGTCGAAATTCATATCATTTGTCATTTTAACTACAATACAGATACGAGTTTATTCATCTATTCTTGAAATTAAATCTTAATTCAAAGTTAATCAAAAACAACTTTTGATATCATTAATTTTTTTATTTCAATCATACGTAATCAATAATATTGGAATATTTTCATCCTGTTATGCATAAACCTGTTATCATCTACACAATACACTGCAGGTTTATACATTAATGTATTATGGAATCCATTTGGTTGATGCAATCAATTTTTATTATCAATCAATGGATTAATTTTACATATTTAGGATAAATATTGAAAGAGAATACTTTTTCTAGTTTATTCTCAAAACTTAATCGAAATTGAATTTCTTGAATAATTAGATTTATTATAAATAATTAATTCAAGACGCTACCATATTAATTATTAACACGAGAGCATGGAGCAAAGTTTCAACCCTATTCTCTTTGATTATTAGTTCCAGAGGTAAATCTTCTTGTGCCTTGAAGTCATTATTTCTGCAAACATTCGTTGTCAGTTATAATTAATAGTAAAGTTCTTGATAAAATTTACGGATTTTTAATGCAAAAAAAATAAATTATAATGATCTTGAAAAGTCTAAGTATCTCAAGAGGTGTAAAGTATTTAAAAGCTTCACACAATAACAAAAACACTCAATATCTATAATTAATAATATTTAAATTATTTAGATGATTTTCATAATATAATTCAGAAAATATTAAAAGTTATTTATTAATTGAATATTATTCAAAATGTCGATCCCATTAAAATGTTGATATTATCGGTAAAATTAATTAACAATTGTATTTATTCATTCGTAATGCCAATGGTTAATTTTATTTCCATGTTTCCTCTCTCTTGGGTCGTAAAATGCGGAGTTTCCAAGCAATTGACGAAAATACGTTGGTACGCCGCAAATTCACGTGGGACAAAGCATATAAACACGTCAACTGTGACTCGACGTTACACATCGAAAGTTTGTAATTTTCTCGACAGTAAATAATTCGCTTTTGGATATACCATCAAATTAGGATACTTTAAATTAACACTCCAATGTATACTTTGAATTTAACAATATACTATTAATTATCAGCCATTAGATATAATTAATAGAATAAAAGCTTATCCAATATTGTAAGCAATCTTTATAATTTATTTCAATCAAATCTTTCAACATATTTACCTCTTGTTTACCACCATTTCTATCCATTAAACTCTAATGGCTCAATTTTTATATTTATTTATATCATCTTCAATCATTATTTTGATCTCAATATATCAAATACTATTCATTATCAAGTAAAAATTATTATCGATTAATATTTAGTAAGTAATTGATCATTGTAATAAATTGTCTAATTAAAATAAATATTCTTCTTTTATAATTTAATTCGAAAGTTATAAAATTCATCTTGAAGTTATTTCATCAAAAAATGTGTGTTTAAAAAATAATATTAATAACAATTAAAGGATTTAATGAACCAATTTAAGAAAGGAATTATGATCAATAATTAGCATACATTTTATAAACATAACATTTATGAATATAAATTTTGTTTACTCAGTAAATTATCCTTCAGATTTAAAATGAGAATAAATTTATTCAAATAACATTATGATAATTTTGAAAAAATCTAATTATAAATTCAAGAAGCAAATCTCGATTTTCCAACAATCCAGCGAACAATATATGGAGCGAATATTCATTTCTATAATTCGAATGAAATTGGTTGTATATGAAAATGTTCGTAATAGTAGTGGGGATTATGGAATGGAATATAGCTTAAGGATATCATTAGTGATTCTCCCTTTCGTGAGCACAACCCTCGTATCTCTCGACATTGGAAGCTATATGAGATAGTCGAATTAATGTGCCACCTTGAATTTATGGCCAATTAATGCACCTCTTCACTCATCTTCGTCCGTAAGGTTTTTAGCAACCTCATTGAAATTATTTCGCTAAAATAATTCACTGTACAAACAAATTATAAATGAAAAAAAATATCAACTCTTTGGGGATGAAAATGACCACATAATTACCATCTCCAAACCTAGCTTATTGTGTGCTTCAGAGCTTTTTACTCGTAGCCAAACCCAACTAAGTGAGTGTGAAAAGATAAAAATACAGCATTTGAATTTAAATCTCTATTTATTTTAAGATACTTTCAGTATTAAGAAATGAAAAAAATTAAAAAGAGGACTCTGAATTTTAATTATAGGATTTAAAAAGTAATATTTGAAATGCTTTACGAACTATTTGATATATTTGGTACAGCCATTACTTGAATTGAATCGATAAATTATTATTATGTATACTTATTTTTAAAGACATCATTGAAAAAACATTTTAATATTTTATTATAATAATTAACATGTTGGATTTATCGTTATAACACTTCAATATTTTTCATAAAACGTAAACCATTTCTACACTAAATTCCAATATTGAGGGCCTAAAATATTAAATCTATGGAAAAAAAAGCAATTTTTTTTGTTCATCTTTATTAATAAAACCAATATGAACGGAAGATAAAATATTTTATTAAAATTTCATTCTAGGTCGAACGCACAATTCAAGTTATTCTCTCTACCGTCTGGGTGAAAGATTGACTCCAGGAGCGACTCAATATGTGGAGACAGGTCGAATAGATGGCTTAGACACAGGTGGAGACAGTGCGAACATCTTGGATGTATTTGGAGGTCCTGAAATCCCTCAAGGAGAAGGAACAACTGTTAGTCGAGCATTTTTGGATGGTAATCATACTCTCGTTAGCATCATGGTTCGAATGAACCCTAGCCCTGATTGGTTTGTGGGAGTCAATTCATTTGACCTTTGCGTTGAGGGTAATTGGGTTGACACAGTTACTGTTGAGGTAAATTTATATGATTTTTCATTATCTTTACAAAGACAGATAACATTTATCTATTGATTTTTTGTTCTTCAAACACAGTTTTACATTTGAAAAAATTAAATTTTTTAGCTAGATCCATTGGATGGAGGTACAGACAACGGTTTTACGTTCACAGCAGCAAATTGGCCAACGAACCCCCAGGGGATTGTTTACAGAATAACATCACGATATCCAGCACACCCTGCTGGAAGTTTTTATTATCCGAATTTACCCCGATTGCCACCTATTGCCACCCTCACGTTCACAAAGGTCAGTATAATATAGAAAATTTAGTATTATATATTTTTTATATTGAAAAAATAGTTGCAGAGATTTTTTTTTATTTTTTTGAAAAATTCATGACCTTTTTTTGATTAGCAACTAAATATTTTATTTACAATAATTTTCATTGATTAACTAATTAGAATATTATATCATAAAATAATTTGTAAATAAGTTCTAAATTACCCAATCCTCTGATAGCGAAACTTTCAGTCTTTCTTTGAAAAAATATCATTTTAAATATAATAAATAATAGAATTGATTAAAAAAAAATAATGGTACAGAATGAAAGAGAAAAAAAGAATGAAAAAGTACTGAAATTGTTGATGTATTGAGTGAAGTGTGTATAGAAATTCAAGAATTTTACTTCTCTAGAGGAACAGATAGTCAGATTTCTCAGATGACTCAAAATCCAGTTTCCGTGTCGAATTACTTAGTCGCGACCCTCAGACACATTCTCATCCTCTCTTCATCCTTTTCCATCTCACACCATCTCCCTCATTCTCAACTTGATCCCTCATCTCTTCAGCATCGCTTCGTCACCTGCAACTAAATACAGTTTCTCTTTACTCATCCACCCCAAAACAACTACTACATACTTCTTGTTTTATTTCTCATCCATACAAAATTTACAGTACTATCTCTCAAGCTGTCAATATTTATTAACTTGAAACAGTCTGAAAATCAACTTGACTCAGCTGCAATGATCAAGTGTCAGAAAATCGTGATGACGTGCTAGAAACATCAGCAACATTTTAGAATCAACGGATAAATGTGATGTAAATTTTAGTTGTTACTGAAACTACTCAAAGCTCAACTTAATTATGCGTGGCACCAACTCCCAAAGGAATAGCCAGGTCACTGGAGAATGAGAGATAGAGAAAGAGAAACATAAAAGTGCTATAAAATGAAATAAATATTTCAGAGGTCACGATACATATGATTCGCCATTCACTTCATATTTTATCTCTAGATAAAATTGACAGTAATTTTATGGTTCCTCTGTATCGCAAAATTTCTGAATTACTTTTTATTTGTTTCACAAGAAAATTTAGAAAATTCTGGCAGATGAACTTGATTTTTAATTATTTTTTTTGAACTATAAATAACTTTCCAACGCGATTTCTAAATAGCTATCGATAAAAAAAATTATATACACATATACATTGATCATTGATCTGAATTACAACTTGGAAATTTAAAATGGGAAAACTTATTTTCTTATTAAATGATAACATACATAAAGTATAGGTACAAGCAATGCACTAAAGGTTAAAATTTATCAACAAGTTATAGATAATTTGAAATGTCAAATGTTTGTAGTGTAATAATTATCAAATACATCCCTCACAAATTCATAACTAGTCAATAATTCAATGATTTATTGTTATTAATTAAATGTTAAGTATTTTACTCTAATGACTGAAATAGATTATAGAAAAAGGAAATTAATTATATAAAAAAATATTGAACAGAGTCTAGCGCTCCTTCATCAATCAAACCTATAAAAAGTATAAATCATATGCATTCTATGAAAATATGCAACACACGTAGTCACGACATTGACAGTCAGTTGAAATAAATTAATTATTCTCTTGCATATTAGAGAAAATAGTTGATGGTGTTGTCTCTCACTCAACAGGCGTTGACTCATAGTCCTCCAATTGATCTTTGCTGGGCTTCTAGTGATATTTTGTAGCACGTGTTGCACTTTAAGATATTCCGGTGATAAAATGATAGAATATTTTTTTCTATTCATAGGATAAAATCTTTTTTATACCATCATATTTTGAAAGCTTATATCGAAAATTGAACTTCAAATCAAAATATTCAAGAATACTATACGTTACCTCCACAATATTCTGAATGCCTGGTAGCTTGATGACTTCCAATACAGTAATGATCATTTGTTTCATAGTCATTCGAGGCTCATACCCAGATGACTTAAAAATGGTTTATAGATGATTTTATGGCAATATTTTAATTCAGTTTGTTCCTTTCATTCTTAAACTTTATGATTGATATTCTAGAGTTGGTTAAAAAGTTAATGAATATTTTGAATTAAATACATATTTGCATTAGAAAAGGTTACTTTACTAAAAAGTTGAACAAAGAACATTCGGATTTCAACCCTTTTGTTGACTAGTGTGTTGATAGTGAGAATTTATCTTTCACAATTTCACAAAATATCTACATCATATTGAATATAACACATACATAAATAAATATTTGCCATGAATATGTACCTGGAATTGTACATAAGACTGCATCTAAGCTGCTTATTAGCTCTGGTAGTTGTTTGGAGTCGAGCAGATTTATTTAGTTTCGAGTGAATATTCTGAATTTAACTAGATAAATATCCAAGATTTTCATTCATATATAAATTGGTTATACGGATAAGCTTACTCGTAATCTATATCAAAGATTAAACTTTTGATCTCATTTTTTGTTATCATATCAACTATGACATGTATTACTATTAAAAAATAAATTATTTAAAGTTGAATTAGTAGAGACGAAGATTAAACAGTTTATTATTTTAGTGAAAATTGGCAAGTACTCTTCTGAATGAATATATTATGTGATTGAAGATGTCATTAATTTCAAACTCTATTAAATAATTAATGACCATTTAGAGGTAAACTATTGTATGGGTATTAATAGGTTTAGTTTCTCTAATGATATCAATTATTGAAATACTTTAAATAACTCGATAAAACATAAATTATATGAATTTCAAATTACTTACACTTAGATAAATGGATAATTATTAGCACAACTTGATATAAAATAGAAGATTACATTTATGAGATTATTTTTAGAATTATTATAAAATATGAACATAAAAAATAAAAGTCATTTACTTATTTTAATTATATATTACAAAAAGTGATATCAGTAAGTTTATTGGTGAATTTTTTTATAAATTAAGAAATAAAGATACTAGATAATAGGGAATCTTTTGAGTCCAGAAATTTCAGTATTTTATTAATGAAAGAAAAGTTCAAACGTTTTGCTATAAGATATCATTCTGAACCTACTAAAACAATGTGTTTGAAGTTTTTTGTGTCTCAATTCTTTTTTGCAATAAAAAGGTCACTTCAATCAAAATTCTGAAGAATCTTTTCTCGAAAATAATATTTAGTTATAATCTATACAACTTAGGCTACAGTAATTAATAAAGATTTGTGTTACCTTTATTGAAGAATTAAATAAAAAAATATCGATTCTTTTTTCAATGTTCTTCTTAATGACCAGCAATTATTGCTAGTAAATAGGTAGAAAACCAGTCGAGCACTAAGAGAGTTAATACGACCATCACACATAAATGGTCACATGCTCGATACAAGCCTATTAGATGAGGTGAAGATCCGATTATCCACGATTATCGATTTCGCTAGTCTACCATGTGTTCTTTTACCTTTGATACAAACCTATCACCTACCTCTTGGAAGGTTTTTTTTCTTTATCTTCTACTTGTCGGAAGGTAGGAGGGTCGCGTGCCTTATCGATTGCTTCTGAGCGTCTACCTATCGTTTTCTTCAACAATTCTTGACTTTACTTATTGCAGTAATACTTCTTAAGCTATATAAAAATCGACTGAAATATCAATCTTAAAAAATCTAGAATTTATTTTATTTGTTAAATACCAGACTTCCATGCATTTTTTTCTTTTACCTTTTGAGTCTCTATGAAAATATTCTGAACGAGAATTGATTGAAGTATGAAGCAAGTGAATTAAAATATCATGTTAATTTGGTGAAGATAATTGATAGTTTTTCAGAAAAATTATTCAGTTTACATATTGATTTTTCCCTTGTGTTAGGACATATGAATTAAGAGAAAGTGATAGATTGATGTAAAGGTTAAAAAGTGAGATAGTAACTGATATCCTGGGGCTCACTGTTAACGTTGAATTACTATCGCTGGAACAGATAAACGCAGTCTGACGCGCAAAACGACCGGAGGGCCTGTGCAGATTAGCAAGATTAGGCTCGTGAACAATAACGACCTCCCCACATGCTCATGTTCATGCTTGAATCCTCCATTTCCTCCCTTCCCTCTATCGTATCAACGTCAACGCTGAAGATAAGATTCCAAATGGTTTTCCAAAGATTAATATTATCTACTGATTAATCCTGCATTTCCATACCATTTACTGATTAAACCATTATAGCATATTGAACTTTAACTTCCAAGCCTAAGTTCAATAGTTGTGAATATTGATACCTTTTTCTTCATTTATCAGTAGGCAAAGCAAAACTTGAGTATTCTATTATTCTAAGAAAAAAACCCTGGAAACCTTTCTGAATTATCAGCTAAATAAAGTCTGGACGAATTGGTTAAGTATATAAGACAATATTCAAATCCTTCAAGACTCGTGAAGTACTTTTATCTTAAGAATAATAGGAAAAGTAAAAGCGATTAAAGAGGATATGCTGTTCATTTTATACCAATCAAATTATTCAATAAACTTAATTAGCAGCATCAATATCTGAATACTACTTTCTGTTCTTTTATTAAAAACTTGACGTTAAAAACGAAGGCAATTAGAAGAGTCATTTATTAATATACAGTTATAAAATATCAATAGGAAGTTCATCTAAAAAAAAATTGATGATTAATTTTAACATTTTTTATCATTATGAACACATTTACTCTCTTCAAAACATGGAGTAACAAAAATTCTTGAGCTTTAAAAAACTGACCTACAATTTTGTTAAATTGTACACGAATTAATAGTACTAATTAATCTATGGATAAATAACTCACAGTTGGTAAAAATTCCAATTATTTAGTGTCCTAAAGTTATTTGAAGATTTCATGTAAATGTTTCATATCATCTATCATTTCAATTTACTTTTATCTTTTCATATTGGAAACTTTTTATTTTACTATTCAAAACATCAATATTCATCTTTAGTAGCTTTCAGGCAACGAATAGCTTTCTCTCTCTCTCCAATTATACCAGAACACTTAGGAGTTGATTAAGTGGCATTTAATGGATCTAGAGGATAAGGGGAAGGATAAAGGAGATAGAAGTAGGATGGGAGGACAAGCAAGGGGGTAAATAACGATCGATTGATCCCAACAACGTCTATATGTCCATGGAAACGTCGAATGTCCATGAGAATTACATTCGATCTGCATAACTCTCTGGTTACCTCACTCTATGCTCGTCCTTACACTCGATTGTCTCGTTCCAAAGTGGGTGGAGTGACAAGGCTAGACTCCTTCATAGCAAAAGAACAAGAGCTACCGACATCGTTTAATTAAGTCCAATCTTTAATTAACACATCACACTATCTTGTTTCTTAATTGCATCAACGATTCTCTATAAGAGTTCCATTTTATATCAATAAAAACCAAAATTAAGGCCTACTTTTGACATGTGGGAAAATAAAATTCTCTTTCAAATACACTACAAAAAATGAACATAATTATTTATATGATAAGTTAGTTTTTTTTATAATAATGATTGAAGAATAAATAAGAATAGACATGATTGATAATAAAAGGTGAAAAAAGCTTTGGACTTGATAATTTATCCAAATGAAGTAATTGTGTGTCAAGAGACGTTCATTCCAGTTTTAAATAAGTGTTTTATTTCTTTATGTTCATCTAAAAAAATCTCATAGTTCTGTAATTACTCAGTATGTATTTATTCACGAAAGTACGAATTTCGTTTGACTCATAAAAATATGTCATCTTTTAATCTTAAAACAACGAAAGAAGATAAAGAAAAATGTGCTATTGTTAAAGACAACGAAATGTTTTGTTATTATCAAATGCTATCTTTTGTTTAAAACTATTTTTCCACAAAAAAAAATCTTTTTAACAAGTATAATGAAGTTTTCTGTGGCTTTCATACTATATTAAATGAAATGCTTTTTACTTGACGTATAAGTTGAACTTTAATTATAAAGTTAATTAATTGACACTTCTGTAAAACCTCTTAATAATTTTACTATCATCAACTTTTTTTTTATATAGAAAAAAATTTATGAAATATTATTAAATTGCTGTGCATTTCATGCTTTTATTATTAAATGCAAAAATTTACATTTTTTTTCAATTTAATTTTCATCCAATTATGTGATTAATTATTCACCGGTTGATTCTTAATTCATTACATCTCCACTTGTTCCAATTAAATTCATCAATAAAATTTCAATCACTTCCTTTAAAAATTTAATAAGCCACTAAACTTTTTCAACAAAATAGAACTTATTTATTTATTTAACATTAAATGATAAGTTTGAAAAATAATTTATGAGCTTTTCATAAATGAATATGTCAATAGTGATGGAAAAACGTTGAAAAATATATATTTTAGTCGCATCAAATTCTTCTAAGATCTTGAAGTAATAAGAGAAATTGCATGTTTTACGTCAGGTTCGATGCTTAAAGTTGTGATTTTATGTTGTAGTTAAGAGAGTATACATTAACGGAAACCTATCATGAAGATGAAGTAGAAATGGAGTTTGTAAGCAGCGAGAAGTTTCCATCCTACAGTCCTACCCCACGGGGAATAGATCCAAACCGAGACTTGAACGAAGCAATCGCCGAAGAGCGAAGGGAAATGGACACTCAGAGATACAGGTAATCCCTTTATCCGGATCTTACCCAAATCCACTCCAATCTTCTTCATCCCTAAATTTTTTTTTATTTTTCACTTCAAATTATTGGAATTCTATTTAAATGGAAGCCAAAAATTACAATTCGGTCGAATGATTTAGATATTCCATCAAGCATTTTTAATTCAATGCTTTTGAATAATAGTGATTTATAGTAAGTAACAAAATAGATACGGAAAGTTCACAGCTAAAATTTCTATAGAATTATAAAGCTAATAAAAAACTAATTACTTCATTCGGTTTGATGCTTTTTGTTAATTCTTGATTCAATTAACAAAGAATTTAATTTTCATTCAATTAAGACCTATGAATTGTATACATTTTTAATTAAAATAAATTCTCATGTAAAATTGTTTTCAATTAACTCAATATAATGGGAAATTTCATTTTCAATAAACACAAATAAAATACTAAACTTTTTTAATAATAGGAACCTTCAAAATGGAACTTACTATTGCTTCGCTATATTGCTTTATTATTTTTTAAAAACATTACAATCCATCGATTAATAATAAAATATATTCACATTATTTTTGATTAGCTTGGAAACTCAATTATATAAAAAAGTTTGAAACCATCATTTTGTTTGTTTAATATTTAATATTTTGAAATAAATTATTTTTTATTATTTGTAGAATTGGTTTTAGCATTTAAAATCAATTAAGTATTTCAATACTTATTTCCGATGGAAACCTATTTTGTCATGATCAAGAAATTCTTCTTTCAAATGATTAATCAAATCTTATAAAAGTAACGGATTTATTATTAAACATTTCCTGATGAAATATTTCTTTCAAAGAATAACTCCAACAGAATACTCCTACATTGTAATCATTTTAATAAAACTTTAGTAAAAAATCCTTGGTGAAGAGTCAGCACTTCCGTTTTGTTCTTATTTATTGAAAAAGTTATTGGATTCCGATGGAATGGAATAAAAATAAAACATCATTTTTTCACAGGTATTGGACAACTGGAAGTTCTCAAGCTGGAATAACAGACGAGCCTCGAGACAACAAAGCAGCGATAATAGACAGCATAGCTTCATCCTACAGTTTCAGTCTGGCGCGTCCACGTTTTCCAATGACACCAACGCCCTTGTCACGTTTGGCAAAAAGCCAGGGGAATAAATCGAGACAGGAGATATCGTACAAGAATGCAGATGCTCTTATGGAGGCTCAGAAGGCTCAAATTTATCAAGATATTCAACGAAGAATCGCTAACGTCACTACTAGTGGGTTAAATAATCGATTTAGAGGAGGAAACTCATCAATTGAGAATACCAAAGAACATCACAGGTTACGAATGAAACACCATCGACTTCAGAGTAAAGGAAAACGATTTCGAGGGCGTAAGTCACTGATATACAATTCAGTCATGATAAGAAAGAAAAAATATAATGAATTATTGGAATAATTTCTTTATTAAATTCATGATGAATAATTATTTAGCTATAATAATTGTTATACAGTAATTTTCATTCTATAGGATGAAATTTTCAATATAAATATAAATATAAATAATAATTTATTCAAAAATTAATTATTTGTATAAAATAATGTATGAAAATATAACACTGATTAGTTGGAGATTACAATGGAGAAAAAATTCCATTTACTATCATGAATGCCATCATATCGCACGTGAAACTCAATTAAAAGTTTTTAAATACTTAATATAGTCTGTATCATTTTCATGTCTATACAATTAAAAAAGATCGTATAAATTCATTTTTCATTTTACTTATTTTTCTTGATTGTATCTATATTTGACTTTCTTCATTTATGCTATGTCAGCTTTTGAATTATCTAATCGTTTCACTTCCTCTCCTAGATATCAAAGACCTCCATTAAAAACCATTTCAATTTACCCTTCTAGTACTACATCATTGATACTACTATTGAACAAAATAAAAAATACTCACGCTAGCAGTTTTTTATTTAACCCTCATAATGCAATGAAAAGTCCAATAGCCATATTTTCTGCGTGACCGATCAAAAAGTTTTTCAAACCCTTTTTGCTTTTCCTCTCTTTTTATTCTCTTTTTTATATATCCTTCCAAGCATGAGTAATATGTAAAAAAAATAAAATTATTTCATCATTCTCACATATTTGATTAAAATTAAGCTATTGTTTTTATTATTTACATTTTTACAATTGTTTATTTTTTTTGTTTTCCTAATTAAAATTGAAACATAAAAGAACTTTAGACTCGAAGTCAAATTGTTTATATTGTTTGGATTATTATTAATTGTCATTTTTGAAAGATAATTTTTGGAATATAACAATATGTTACTTTATTTACATTAGTTGTTGTTTAGCGACCGTAATTAATTGTTGTAATTTTGCGCAGGGATTCCAAGAGACTGTAAAGTAGGTGATTGGGGAGCATGGAGTGCATGCAGTCGCAGCTGTGGCGTTGGTGAAACTCAGAGGACACGAAAGGTGTTGGTGAGACCAAGACGTGGCGGATCAATTTGTCCTCCCCTTAAAGAAACTAAATGGTGTGGAAGTGTCAGTCCTTGTCCTGATAATAGTGTTAAACCCATTGTCGATGTATTTTCTTGGTAAATTTCATTTTTAAACCGAAACAAAAGGAAAAGTTTATTTTAAATATGTTAACCATTGACATACATTTTTCCGCAATTCGCTTAATTTATTATTGGAGATGAAATTTTCATAATAAAATGAAACCTAAACTAATTTTGATAAAAAAAAAAAATAAACAAAAATGACAATCTAGATGAATATGTATTTTTAATTTATTCTTAAAATAACTTGCTTTTAAACTTTAATTCATATTTTTGCAATATAAAATGCTTCAAGAGCTTTTGTACTGATTAAGTATCGTAAATCTATCGAATAAAAATACCATTTTTACAAACCAAAAAAGAATAAATATCATGAGGTATTTGTTAAGTAAATGTATTATATATTCTTAGCTAATAAATATAGATTTAAAAAACTATCAATTAATTAATTAACTAATAATAATTAATAAGATATAGTTAACGACTAATTGTAATTTTGAATTAATAATTAAATTGAATGATACATTTTACCAACAGTAAAAAGTGTACAATTCTTATAATAAATATTGTCAATGTAAAAGATTAATTTTTTTCACGAAAAAAAAAAATTATAAAAATTACTCGCAAATATTATATTCTGTACAAGTGAGCATTCTAGTTTTTAAGAATTCTAGTGACTAGTTTTTAGTTATAAAATGAATAAAAATATATGTAGTAATGTTCATCATATAAGTTTATATTACATAATAAAATCAACTTTAAAACACATATTTTTTATTCTTTTAACTTTTTTTTTTTGCCAAGATATCGCTAGTTTGAATACTCATGAGAGTTGTAGTTGTATGTGAAAAGTAATTGAGACTGTTAGAAGAGGAATTAATTGCGCCTCGAGGGAAGAACACACCCCAGAATACAATGGTACAGGAAAAGCTCTTATCGTGCGACATTACCCTCGGATAAAAGTTACCCTCTACGAATCGTGCACTCTTAATGCTCGACATAAAAGCCAAGAATATTTGTAAATTCTTTCATGTTATTATTATTTATTTATTCTCAGTTATGTAATAAATACAACACGACTTTTAACTAAGATTTATGGTGATTTTGTGAAAAGTAATTATATATCAAATATTTTACTTTTTTATTATAATTATAAATAAATAATAAATCTGAAAAGAAATATAAGAATTCATTTTTTTTTATGAATACTTTATATTTTTGTCATACTAAATCTGAACTATTTATGTTATCCGGTATAGTTATAACATGTGAATCTAATTTATATTACAATTTTCTAGTTATAGTCAAACCACCGAAAGAGTACTGGTAGAGGGAAGTCCTCTTTCTGGTGCTAGGATTAGCTTAGGTTCAAGCATAACAGCGTAACCACTCTTTCGGTAATATTACATCTTTGCGGTAGCATAAGTTCAGTGAGATCATTAAATTTATGAATTTTATTTTTAATCCAATATTAGTGTAAAAAAAAATTTTTCCTTTATTTTTAATAACATTTATAAATTTTTAAAGAATATTAGCTTTGAACTTATCCGGTGATTTACGTACTAGCTAAAAACGTCAGCTAGTAAGTGTACATAGAGTTTCTGAAAGTTCAATATAATGCTTCATAATACGCTAATATTTGTTAGAGTTATTTTTATTTTATCGATATTCTGTTAAAATATATTATCCCAAATAAATTATCTATTATTACCATTAATTAATTATTTAATATTTATTACAAGGTATTGTTAAATCTTTGCTGGTCCAAATTATTATCCATTAAATGCGAATAAAACCCAAGTTTCAATAAAGTACCAGAAGGAAAAAAAGCTTGTAGTTTAACATAAATAAATTTTGATGAACAATAAATTATAAATCAATCGTTGTAATTACTATGACACTGGTGATTGATGTACTTTTTATTATTTTGTTAAATGAAAATTTGGACTACTTGAAACCCATTTATAACTTACATAGAAAAATTCATTATGAAGACATCAATCTTATTTGGAGTGTACGAAATTAGCTTTATATTTTTGAAATTAAAACGTCAATCTTGTCAGTAATCAGACAAGAATATGTCCGTGACTGCAGTATCCGGCTTTTTGTCTTAGGAACCTAGAAGGAACAAGAAGACCATCGGATATTGTTTCGATCAAATGTAAACCATCTAGATGGCAGCATTACCCACCATCAGTTTGGATCAACAAAGAGCAACATCAAAGAGTGGAGCAAAAAAAAAACATCCACCAACCTCTCGTTGCATTCTACATACTGGATATTCGTTTCGAGTTTCGTGTCCAAAAGTCGTCCTCTATAAAGCCACTATGTTTTCGCAGATTGTGTAATATTAAAATGACATCTATTTTACGCTATTTAATAGAATTCTCTATATCATCATTACTATTGTTTCATAATATTTTTCAAAAAATTAACATTCATCAATCATTAATTAATTAATTATAAAACAAATTTTTATTTCAACGTTTCAGAAAGGCAAGAGAAAAATTGATGAAATGGAACATCTTTAAAATATGTAATTTACAAGTTTATTAGTATTTACGAAAAAAAAATAAAAACTTGATAAATAAAACTATTAAATTTGCAATAAAGTCTATGATAAAATAAAATATATATATTTGCTATTTATAATTTTTATACACAATTGTTGAAACTTTTGTCACTGAAATACATCATAATATTTTTTTTCAATCACTAAATGATTTTTTACTTATTAAAATTAAATATTCAACGCTTCATTGAACTTGAAATATTTATAATTTATTAACTGTTTGATAATTTTTTTTTAATCTTATTTTATGTTGTGTATTGATCTTTGTAGCTCATTTATGATTTTTTGGCCATTGCGAAATAGAACTTGTTATTTTGGTCTTCATAATTCTCAGATTCGATTAGGCGCACAGGAATGTAAAGAGTAAAAATCATTATCATGAAGTAACTGATGCTCTGATACTCTCCCAATCAAACAAGACATGAGTTCTCGAAAATTATGCAACACTCAAGATTAAATTTTGCCCGAACTGAATTAATAAAATATCCTAATTTATTTTTGAAAATAGTATTTATTGGTAACAATAAATAATCGTTTTAAATCAACTTGAAAACGATTTTTTCAAATCAACAGATAAGTTTCATCACGAAAACACATAAAAATGACAATAAATAACCAATTTTATCATTCAAAATTGTTTAATCATTTTTATTGCAAAATAGCCAACTGCTACTTTCTGACTGATATGTGTTCATAAAAAGATCTATATAAACAATAAGAATATTAATAACAGAAGCTTCAAGAACGGTATTGTGTAAAAGAAAATAAGTATAAGGTATAAAGTTGTTAAATAAAATAAGGAATGAGAAAAATACTGTAAGAAAATATCATTTAATTCTGTTCGCAGGTGAAATAATTTATATAATATGGATCGAAATAAAATGGGTACCTGGTTATTATCAACATTTCTTATGACATTTTTGTTAAGTGAAGTCCAAGCAGACGTGGCTATTTCAATGCCAAACACCAATGATATCACATCAATAACGAAATTTACTTCATACATCCAATATATCATGGATAATACTTACAAGCTGGATGACTCATGGCAAAGTTCTTCAACTAGAAATTTTGATTTATCTAAAATATACAGTGATATGAGGAACTTATTATTTAAATCAGAAGCAATAATAGAAAAGCCATTTGATGATTATTTACAAATATTTTTGGAAAAATTCACCAAATACCATTTAGACAACAGCTCATTAATTGAAACTACTTCCAATGCTCTTCATAAATTAAAATACAGATTTCAAGTTGTTAATAATTTTATAAAAGGTCTCTTAAATACGTATGGTAAATTAAATAATGTTACTTACTGGTGTACATTTGCCAATAATGCTTGGCAATTTTTGTCACAATTATTACCAGTTTCTCTAAATGATTTATTTTTCGATATTACTTCATCCATTGCTGATCAATTACAGGTAAATATTTATTATTAAAAAGAAATTCGATCATATAATAGTAGTAATTAATGCAAAATAAAATATATTTGTTTGTTTATTCATTTATTTAGGAATATAATTCACAAAAACACATTTGCAATTCGCAAATATCTCTTCAACGAGAAGTGTATTTATTTATTAAAATATTAATGGAAAAGCATGTACAAGAATATATTTTGTCTACCTATACATGGGCTTTAAAATATAAATGTTCAGACTGTAAGTTAGTTTCTGTACAATTATTATTCATTTGAAAAATTATTAAAATTGTAATAATAATTGATTTTTAGCAAACATTAAGCAAATATTGTGGAAAAATATAAATACAAAAATTAAACGGAAATTTCTAAAAGATTTTCAAAAATGTATAGAAACAAGTAGTAATATTTTAAATAAGCTACCACGAGATATCTATCAGTGTCAATTCAAAGAATATGTAAGAGGTACAGATTATAATAATTAATTTTATTGGTATTTATAACAATTTTTAGCTACAATGAATTTAACGTATTTAATTTTTCTGCTTTAGATTTTACATATTTAGAGCTCGAAAGAATGCAACAAATGTTTATTGCTAATGAATATGATTTAAATAAAGATGACACATGTAGTTACAATTGCAAATTTCCTAATAAGTCTCTTGTTTCCAATTACCAAAATGATGATACTCAATGTGAAGAAATCCTAGATTGTAAAATTCTTTCCTCGAAATTAGAAGTCTGTGCACTGGTAATTTCTACTACTTTTAGATTTTTTTTCGTTGATTTGAAATTATTATATTCCTTTCTATAAAAGATTTTATTCCAATCAGCATCATCAACCTAGACGTTTAGAATGGTTCCAAGATGGAGAAGGAATATACGGAAGTAATAACATTTCAGTATGTTCTGGAGAAAAGAAAAAATTGCACACCTCATCATGGTTTTTCTATAAGTGTGATTATTGCATATGTACCTGTAAAGGACAAAAATCTTCAAAGGATAACAATTTAATCACTAATACAATTAGCTTTAGGGATCAAACATCTGATATCAACAATAATATGTACGTTAAATTTTTAAATTATATTTTTGTTTAAATAATATGTGTATACTAATGTTATTATTTATCTTTATTAGGGTCGTGGTAGGTATGAAATTTGTACATCAAAATAATATGATTCACGTACAAATTAAGGAAGGCAAAATACTACCCCGAGGAAAAATAGATAAGCGTACACTAGCTTGGAAAGCTGTGGAAAATATTATGTATGATAATCAAGGGAATGAACCCATGATACTTCAGGATAATAATCTTAATACTTCGTTAATTAATGGCACCGACTATGGTTATCTAAGTAGTATTGACTTGAACGATATAATTGCACCAAAGAATTATCTAGTGACAGGAGTTCGATTCAAGTATGTACCTAATTGGCACACAATACAAGAAAATGCTAGTGATAAGCCAGTTGAATTACAAATTCAAGTAACACCTTACGATTATTATTATGGTATATTATCACATTTGGAACAAACACGTTGGATTTCTCCATCTGAATTGATGGAGAATAATATTGATGGAAAATCACAACTAATTTCAAAAAAACCTATCACTCGGTATGAATATTTTTTTTCCAAGTATGCAATTAAACATATCCAGATAGATGTTGTTGATAATTTTAAATTATTGATTTTTATAGGCAAGAATTGGTACTTGATGAACCTGATATTCCAATAAAGTCTTTAAACAATGAATTAGATTCTGAACACTATCAGTTTATTAAATTTAGAGCCTCAGATATGAAAAAAGATGCTGGTCAATCGACAGTTCCCTTTTTTGATGGACAACCAGTAGAAGGAAAACCAGCATGTCCACTTTCTGGAGTTGGAGTATTTCACAAAGGAATGAAAGGATATGGAGGATTTATCTCTTTAAGAATTCATGATATAAATTTATCTGATTACATGAATTATAGTTCAAATAACATCAAAAATTAAACAATATTTCTACTTTTTTATGTCTTGTATTGCAAACATTCGGTCAGATGTATTACGAATTTCATGCTTGGTGTTATAATTAATCGAATTTCTTGTTCACATTTATTGATTGAATAATAGAAATTTTATGAAATTGTGAATTATAAGTAAATGATTATTTAAACATGTTCGGATACACCAAAGGTACTGGGTATGATTTTTACTAGCAGAAGCAATATATATGATAAAATTGATGAAATAATGATATATTAGCATAACTTGATTTTTTGCTAATAACTCAGGATCTATAAGGCCTATATTGAAAATAAGCATATCAATTAATTTGTAAGAACGAGATCTATTTATTGCACTAGGACAAATTATAATTGGAGCATTATTTTTGCTAAAATTAAAGCAAGTTCCCGTTTTACCCCATTTTAAGTGTGAAATAATTGATTTTTGATATGTTTGACCCGATTCCGCATTTCTACCCATCAAGACGAAGAGAATGAGTGGTCAAACTTGAAAATCGGACAACTTTGATTTTTCGACCCCAAAAAATGGCAAGTGGTACCCCTTTCCATTTTTTTCAGCCAAAAAATAAAGGTTCTCCGATTTTGATGATTGAGGGCTCATTCTCTTCGTCTTGATGCGCAGAAGTGCGGAATCGGGGCACAGCTCAAAAAAATACACTTTAACACCCTTAAAAGGGGGTAAGACTGGATACACATTAAAAATTATCATCCCCTTAACTTTAAACCCTTATAACTCATGAACGGACAGTCCAATAACCATTTTTAGGGACGTTTTAGAAACTTTAGAATTTAAGCTAATAATGTGTATACATAAAAGATACTTGAAAATTTTTTTTCACCCTTAAAATCGCTAAAATATTAAAAAAAATCATATTTTTTTGGGAGTTTGCTAACTATTTTGGCAATTTTAAGGGTGCAATAAATTTTATTGAGGTTCTTTATGGATATAGATCTTTAGCTTAGATTCTGTAGTTTCTAAACATCTCTTAAAAATCATTATTCGATGACTTTTATGAGAGTTATAGAGGTCTAAAGTTGAAGTAAGGGTCAAAAATTATCTACTCTTGGACTTTACATCTTCATAACTCGTGAAAAAATTATCAGACGATGATTTTTAAGAGATGTTTAGAAACTACAGAATCTAAGCTAAAGATCTATATCCATAAAGAACCTCAATAAAATTTATTGCACCCTTAAAATTGCCAAAATAGTTAGCAAACTCCCAAAAAAATATGATTTTTTTTAATATTTTAGCGATTTTAAGGGTGAAAAAAAATTTTCAAGTATCTTTTATGTATACACATTATTAGCTTAAATTCTAAAGTTTCTAAAACGTCCCTAAAAATGGTTATTGGACTGTCCGTTCATGAGTTATAAGGGTTTAAAGTTAAGGGGATGATAATTTTTAATGTGTATCCAGTCTTACCCCCTTTTAAGGGTGTTAAAGTGTATTTTTTTGAGCTGTGCCCCGATTCCGCACTTCTGCGCATCAAGACGAAGAGAATGAGCCCTCAATCATCAAAATCGGAGAACCTTTATTTTTTGGCTGAAAAAAATGGAAAGGGGTACCACTTGCCATTTTTTGGGGTCGAAAAATCAAAGTTGTCCGATTTTCAAGTTTGACCACTCATTCTCTTCGTCTTGATGGGTAGAAATGCGGAATCGGGTCAAACATATCAAAAATCAATTATTTCACACTTAAAATGGGGTAAAACGGGAACTTGCTTTAATTTTAGCAAAAATAATGCTCCAATTATAATTTGTCCTAGTGCAATAAATAGATCTCGTTCTTACAAATTAATTGATATGCTTATTTTCAATATAGGCCTTATAGATCCTGAGTTATTAGCAAAAAATCAAGTTATGCTAATGTATCATTATTTCATCAATTTTATCATATATATTGCTTCTGCTAGTAGAAATCGTTCCAAGTACCTTTAGCGTAGAGAGGTAAAATTAAAAAAAAAAAAATTTTGGTCTCCATAGTACCACAAGGGGAACGTCAGGGAACTCACTCCCTAAGGAACATTCGGGGAACCGTCGGAGAACAAATTTTTTTATACAGATAATCATAATAGGACAAATAATAAAATAACTGTACATGTAGGTTTATTTCTCATTACATTTATTCATATTTCCTTATAGCATAAACCGGATCAATTTAAAAGTGTACATCATAAAAAAGTACAAATATTTACAAAATACTGCTTTGATGAATAACTGCGGTCGAACTTTTCTGTATTTTATTTCTTTTTTATTACAAATGTTACCTAAAAGTGTATTTTTAACTTCGGTTTATTTTTTTCTTTATTTTTTTTTATCGTCGTACAAATGACTAGATCTTGAAATGAATCTTTGAATATTTTAATAGACGATAAATATGACAATAGTGAATAGCATGAAAGAGTGATAAATTCACGGAAATTCCAGAAAAATTATTCATTTCATATAATAGGAATGTTTTAATTATGATATTTCATTAGCAAATATGTATGTAATTATAAATGATAATTTTTGCTTAAATTCTCATAGTATACTGTGTGTTTGAATCATTCTTATAATTAATTGATGATATTGATGGATATACAGCTGAAAATATATGATGCGAACACGTATGCGTACATTATTTATTTGTTGATAAATATTATTACTGAGTAATCTAAAATGGAGCATGATATATTGTATTATTTAATTACGATTAATGTATAAGGAGTTGAAGAACAATTTTATTTTCTATTCTTCTATCTCCTTTGGCAGCCGATCGATGAAGGTGCATTTATTATAATCCATGCACTGTATTTCCAATCGTATAACTTGTAGTACTAAGCTCTGTAATTATTGCAAAATTTGTGTATGATAATACATGATTAATTTTTATGTCGTAGAGCATTTCTTGAGATATATATGTACAATTACAGTTTCATATTAGACTATACAATTTATATTATTGTTGTATAACCTTGTTATTGTTACGTTATAATGATATATTTTATTTTTTAAAATAAGTGCTAATTATCAACCTACATTTCTTTAATTGATTAAAAAATTCTTTGCTTTACATAAAAATTCACTATTATTATTTTTTTTTTTTTCCGCTACTATCAAATATTACGTTATTGATAATTAATATTATTATTAATAATAATCTTAATTTTATTTTACTTAATTCATCTCACTTTAAATTATAACATTATTAATAATAGTAGAGTTAATTATAATTAATAATTAGTTCTTGCTTGAGTTATTTCATTATTTTATAAACAATATGTTTGATAGCAGTGAAAGTTTTACAGTAAAATACATAAAAAATTTATTGGCAGTTTGGAAGATCGGTTATTATTCGATGTCAACATAAAAATCACAACTGATTGATAGTCATTTTTCTCGATTAAAAACGTATCAAATGTATAAATGTAATAATTATCAGTATATACAAATATTTTTGTTTATATATGTCACAAAAATGAATCACTCTTAGTCTTTCTGTCTTTAAATGTATGAATTATTTATTCATTTGCTACTTGGATTAATAATTGGTTGAGTCATAACGTCAGTAATAAAAGTCATTGCTACAATAAAAAATTAGTACCCTATGGAATAAAAGTAGACCATACTTTCGTCGTTTAGGCATATTTTACTGGACTGCGTAATATATATTTATTTTGATGTTTAATTTTATTACACTATGAGTATTATTGATTATTTCGATGTAAATTTTACCTATCTTATACTAAGCCTTAATACGTGAGTTTTGCTACCGTTTAATTTTAGTAGTGAAAAAGAATTTATTGCTGATTTAGCAACTTTCCTAGGCCATCATACTACTTCAGCGATAATTATAAAAATCAATCTAAATAAATATCATTTTTTAAAATTCAGAAATTTAATTATCCAATAAAAAAATGTATGTATTAATATATTTATATGTATATATAATATTATATAAGTCTCTAAAAATGTGTATAAATTTACGAGGACAGTATTGATTAATATTTTTATATACGAAAGCAAAGTCACGTACAAATCTAACTATTATAAGTAATCTTAGGTCGATTTTCACGCTGATGCGGAAAATTATCTAGCATTATATAATGGACAGAGGCAGTGTCAATTAGCCGTTCGGACCTTTTAGGTCAATAATATAACATTCTATTACATACTCATTACTTACACATAAACGCATGCCAAAATTCATTCTCACACCAACTATCCTAAGAATTCGATGCTCATGTCTACAGACAACTATCAACTACAATTTCTCCTATCTTAGACACAACTTCATCAAATGTTGGTCTTTCTCTCGGATCTTTAGACCAACATTTTTCTTGAAGCTCCTGAAGTGCTGGTGGAGCAGCTTTATGTGCTTTCCAAACTAAACCATGACTCTTAAGTTGTGTCAGTACGGTATCATCATTAAGTTTGATAAAAGGTAATTCTCCTTGATGGAAAATTTCCCAAAGTAGGCAAGAGAATGAATAAACATCACTTTTAGTAGAGTACTCATCTTCGTAAACAGCTTCATACGGTAGCCATCGAAGAGGAATCACTTGATTACGATACTTTGCATACTCTTGTTGATAAGGTTCCTTTGACATACAGGTCATAGAAATTTTCAAACTAAGATTACTACTGATCAAACAATTCCGAGCAGCGATATCTTTATGTACGAAACGGTTATCTGCAATATGTTTAAGTCCGCGTGCTGCTTGATTAGCTAATGCTAAAATTTGAGCAACTGTCAGTTGAGGTGCACGTGGTTTAGCATCAGGATTCGGATTAACAGCTTCATCTTTCTTTTTAGAAGCTAATAAAAATTGTTTGAGATCACCCCAGTCAGTGTATTCAATAATCATATAGTCTGGTTCAACTTCTCGACATAAACCAATTAATTTGGCAACATTTTCATGATTTAATTTATGAAGAAGGTCCAAATGTCTTTTGAATTCTTGAAGAGCAGTTTCATCTTTAGTATTCAAAAGACTTTTAACCATAACTATTTGCTCTTTTTCTCCATCTGCTTGATATTTAGTTGAGAAAACTTCACCAAATTCACCGCGCCCGAGTGGTTTTAATTCCTTTAGATTCGTTCGGGATACTGCTAATTTGTCATAGCTACTTTTTGATTTCTTGGAGTGATTACTGCTCTGACTTTGCGCAGTTTCAGCACCATCACTACGATGAGAATCACGATTCTCTTTTTTTTTCTCTCCATTTTGTTTGTGATTCATTTCCTTCAATTCGGTTTGCTCTTCGTGAATATCCCCATTCTCCAGTTTTTCTATAAATAAAAGTTGAAATGGGAGAAATTAATTTCTCTAGGGTAAATTAACTGAGTCAGTAACTAATTTGCACTTGACATGCTCCGTATTATTTTTATTCACTAAACGTCTGGTATATTGAAACTAAAATAGTTTATATTTGCTTGACTACGTTACTTCTACAGTTTAACTCTAACAAACTGAGAATAAAATTTATTCAAAGTTTTATTAAATAAAATAATATAAATACGTATGATACATATATTATAAATGGTATTAATTTTTTTTTTAATTATATAACATGTAATAATAGTAATTACCTTCTCCATGTTCCTGTAGGTACTGTTGTTTCCTACGTCTTCGACGATATCTGCAATATACCATCAATCCTACAACAAGAACCATGTAAGCAGCAGCTACACTCAGAGTTATCGTTACTGTTTTAGTCATCATTGATCCATCATAATTTTCAACATCTAAATCCGAACGATATCCATCTCCAGCTAAATAAAGATATATCATTTATTTGTCATTCTTAAAAACATTTTCAAACATCAATATTTTTGTAACTTACGTTTCACATTTAATTGAACTTCGACTCTCTTCAATCCCCCACTATTTCCAGCTGTGCATCCATATTTACCTTCATCACTAAGATAAGCTTCTTTTATGTATAAACTTCCATTTGCTAAAACTTGTAATCTCGGATCATCGAGATTATCTAAGCTGGAGTCTTTATCCCAATGAATCTGAGGTGTTGGATCGCCTTCAGCAGTGCAATGAAGCATTATAGGGTAGCCTTCAATAGCTTCAGTAACATTCTGTGGCAACTGAGTGAACTTTGGAGCAACTGAAAAATTACATTTATTTGTTAAATAATGTATACAAAATCGTTAATGAAAATTTATATTACGCAGTTTATAGACTCATTTAAAATGTTAATAAAGGATTGTATAAAATTGATTAAAAGTAAATGTCATACAGTGAATAAAGAAAATTAAAAATAAACAACAAGTGAGTTTTATATTTACTCAAACCATGAGCTATTATTTATCATTATCGCTGTAACACAAACAATAACTTAACATCTCAAATTAAAAACAATACATTATATCTATAAACAACGTTATTCATTTTTTATCGTATTCAAAATATCACTACGTACATTAATACATTCAATAAACCTTCAAAAATTCCAAATTTATTGTTCAATGAGTTAAAAAGTTTATTACTTACTCACAACTTCAATGTTGATAGTGTGATTAATTGACCCTTGAGAATTTGATGCAATGCATATATAACGACCCTTGTCACCTTCAACCACACCATTGAAGTGTAAAGTTCCATTGATGTCTTGCACGTGTTCTGGAAACTTTTCTCCTTGTCCCTCTTTCATCCACCTTACAGTTGGATTCGTAGCTCCTTGAGCTTTACAGTATACCTTTGTCGTAGAATTAAGTTCAAGCCTTTTATCAACAGGAGGCGGTGAAAACTTCAGTTTTTCACGGATTGAGAGAGTAGCAGGATCAGATTTCAACACTGGGAACCCCTTGGTAATAATCTCACAAGCATAGCTGCCTTTATCAGAGAGATAAGTGGATTTAAAGTGAAGAGAAACATTTCCATGACGATTCGTTATTCTATGTCTAGTAGGACCGCCACTTTCCTTGAGCAGCTCACCATCCTTTAACCATTGAACGCTTGTCACGGGAGCTTCCATACCAGCATACGAGCATGTTAATGTCACAGGATCACCTTCCATCACTGTCACTGACTCTGGTGAACTTATTAGACGTGATGGAGTAGATACAATTACTTGAACGACTATTTCACTGGTCCCAGCAAGATTTTCAGCAACACATGAATAATTTCCAGCATCCTCATCAATTCGAGCTTTAGTTATGACTAATGTATTATCTTGAACTCTTACAGATCCAGAATCACTGATTATATGGCCTCGAGGATTTCGCCAAAAAACTGTCGGCGATGGTGAGCCTGCTGGCTCCAAACAACTTATTTGTAATTCTTGGTCTTCTCCCACCACAGCTAATTGGTCTGGCAATAAAGGCTCAAAAGAAACGTCAGAAAGGTTGTGTAAATCTAGAAATCAAAAATTATGTGTTAAATATTGAATATACCAAACTATTTTTAAAAATTATTCTCAATATAGTTAATGATAAAAATTCATTTTATGATTCATTTGCTAATATAAATTTCATCAAAATACAGCATTAATAAAGTAATTAACTAACTTGTAGGTTGAGTTAATAAATTGGAAAGTTCATGTTTCTATCATATTACTTTAATATTTTGGGTGTGCCAACACGTGCGAAAACATGATTCATTCTAACATTATTTTTAATTTATGTAAGAAAAATTTTATTATTATTATTATCAGACAACAAAACTTTATATTAAATTGAAGTAAATAGATGAAATACTTTATGCTTAAATTAATAATTAATTTAAAGATAAATTCATGAGATTAGAGTAATATTGTATTGGACAGTTTTCCTATAATGATAGTTCATAATGACAACTGACAGATTCCAATGAATATTTGATTAGTAGCTAATTGAATTGCTTTTGATCAAGAACTGATTTGCTAAAGCTGTCATTATAAATTTACATGATGATAATGATATTTTGGGTATTTACTATTTTAATTTTTACATAATTACAAATTTTCCATGTTTGTTTTTTAAAAAAGTATTTTCATTAAATATATAAATATAAAAATTATTTATATCAAAGAATAAAATAATTGTAATTGATTTTGATGTTACGACTGCCCTCTTTCGTACTGATTTCATTATTTTAGATCCCTTCGATTTTTTATAATCATATTCATTAATATTTTGCCTTCTAGTTTATTGATGCGTTAAAACTCAATCATGAATAACTTAGTTTTTTGAATACTTTGATGAAATTACATTAGTGATAAAACTGATGAGATTTTTAATATTGTAGGATTTTTAAAGTTTATTATATCTTAAAACTACCCTGAACTTACATGCTATCTGTAGTTCAGCTGTATAAATTTGTTCGGAATCGTCTTTAATGCCGTGACAAGCATAAACACCCTGATCTCGATGTTCAGCAGAGCGGATAAACAGTGTACCATTTTCCAGAATGACTCTTTCCTCATCATCATCACCAAGTGGACCGATTTCTTTGAAGTACCACTCTGTAGAATCTGCATTTTCATACATGCAATGCATGTAAACTGGTTCACCACGTTTTACAATAATGTTTTGTGGTACAACTTTTATAGTTGCTGTCTCATTCGAAGGAATTATTAAAGGAAAACTCTCTTTCATTGGTGACGAACCAGCTTCATTCCTCGCTAGACATGAGTAAACGCCATTGTCTTCAGCACTTGCATTTGGAATATGGAGTTTCTTTTTATTTTTCACCTTGATTCGTTCATTTGTTATCAGACTCTTGGTGTTCCTGCAAAATTCATAAATCAGTAAATATACTATCAATGTATATGCATTTATTGAAAGCAAATTTAAAATTAATAACGCATTATTTAAAATCATTGTTCGATAAAGTAATAGAATTCAATTTGAATTTGAAAATTTCACTTGAATATTTTCAATAAAAATTCATAGTGCGAATGTTGGACTTTTTGTATGGTAATATTTGATAACTGCAGTCTATAAATGTCCAATATTCCTGATATATTCAAAAATATAGAGGAAATACGAAGGTACATTGAATATAACGAGAGTAGTTTCAGATATGTATTGTCATGTTTTTGGAATATTTTGATCAAATAACTATCATCCATCAATTGATATTTGTCAATCGTGCATTAATATGCAAATATTGCAAATAAAATATTTAAAAATTGTCTTTTTCAATAAAAATAATAAGTTCATTAAATGAACAAATCAAAGTTTTGAGAAAATAATTTATCAAAGCAATATTTAATATTAAAGCTTGTTAATTAGATTTTTAAAAGCTATACAATATAATATCTGTTCAATAAATCAATCTAAGCTGTGTAATGCACTCATGTAATAGTAATTAAACATAATAACAATGTTAACATCTACTCTCAATGTATATTTACGTACATACACTAATTATTTATACATTCTAATGTACTTACTTGAACCACTCGTATTTCATTTCTCCAGACCCATCAACGTGGCAGCGTAATTCAACATTTGCACCAGCCCTTACTGGAGTTGGAGACTTGGGTGAATCCAGAACAACTCTTGAGTCACTTATCCCTTAAAAAAGCCAAAAAAAGTTATAAGTTTTTTTATATAACAACTTCTACATATATATATGTATACATATATGGATTTATTATTGAAGTTAACTTTTATATTTTTAACGATCTGAAATCGAGATGAAATTGAATGGAGAATCTCAATTAAATGTCGGACTTTTGTCGACAGAATTAATCGAATCGGGCAGACAAGAAAAACGTCAAGTAGTGAGTAAAAAAGTTGAGAAGAAGAAAAGACAAAGAAGTCGTGAGATAATGTGAATACACTGGTTTATATCTATATATTTTAAGGAAGAATCGATGCATCGTTTTTAGTCGGATGAAATTCTCTATTTGCCCTTGCTTGTATACTTTTCTTTTTGAGTACTCCTTTTGTATTGATAGTTAAACCACATGACTGTATAAAACCAATTGTATTTTACAGACAATAATATACATAGAATGAAGTGAAGAAGAATAAATTGAAAAAAAATTACATTTATACATTTAACAATAAAAATCAAACACAACTCGAAAATATGACTCATTTTAATGCTTTCCAATATATAGAATAAACGTATCTGATTTTGTATGTGAAATAAAAAAAATGATTTTCATCAAAAAAAAAAAAGCATACAAAGTTTGTTAAAAAATGTTTCAATTCATCATTGATACTTCGATGAGAGATAAAAAAAAGAGCTTTTGATAATCCAGTGGTTTGAATTGATTTTTTTCCAAGAGTCATGAATTTTTTTAATTGAAATTTAAATATTAAGAGTTTATTCGGTCGATAACGTTTTATAAATAAAGCTGGAAAAAAAATCTATTACATTCCTATTGGAAACTAATTTCGAAGGTTTGAAGAACTCGATTCAAGAGCCATTGCGTCCTTTTAAAAGATCTCTTTTATATGAAGAATAATTGAAATAATAAAAAAAAAAAATACTGGAAGAAATATTTTTATGATTTTTTGTTAAGTATTGAATTATTTTCATATTTTTAAGATTTAAGAGGATTTAAAAAAAATTAAAAATATATATAAATATATATATATATATTGGATTAAAATAAATTTTTGATGTAATATTCATCAATAATAATGTAGTCAACTATAGACTAACCCGTTTGTAATTGTCAGTAGACATCCTTTGAGAGTAAATGAATACATTTGCATTAATGCAACTATATAAACTATTTACTTGATATCGTTTCAATTTATCATGCTGTGATTGATTACTCTGATCAAATCAATATACATTTTAACGTCTGAAAAATGGAGGAGTTATTTAAATTTTCCAAATATATTATTTACATTTCTTTTCTCATTTTTTCAAGTACAAAAACCTTTAAAGTTCAAAGAAATTTATTTTAAAAAAAAAAATTTCACAAACTACTTCAACTATTTTAGTAGTAAAATTTTATTTTTATCTTTTTGTCAAATGGAATTTAATATCATAAAATAGCAGTATGAAGTGCTATTAAAAAAATATTCTTTAAAATTCGAAATATGAATTAATGATTTCATTAATATAATAAAAAATAAAAAAAAAAAAAAACGCAGTAAAAAATAAGACCATGGCTTCTTTAAATGCATTTGCAATCGTCAGATTTTCTCCGAGTCTCGATCAGTGAGATTTTCACCCGGATACTCGAGTCACTCATTGCGCTCTTTTTCTTTCTCTCTTGATCCTAAATTCTCCATTTCTTTTCAGCTCTTCAATACTCGGAAAGCCGTGTTTAAACGCACAAACGAAGCGAAAGATCAAAGATTCCGCCACACGACCAGAGGCTAGAGGGCTCAACATTTATTATTATCATTTGCCTAACTCTCTTTTTACTATTTTTTCCATCTTTACCCAACGAATTTGCAAGGGATTAACTTTTACTGTAAATAAACGACTAAACGCCGGTCTGGAGTCTCATACGATATTGATAAATAAATAAATTTTAACATTTGTTCGTTTATACTTGCCATATGTTTCGCTGTTTCATCTTTTCTCTTATGATTCATTTCATAATTTTCTTTGTTAATATGATTGTCAATTAAAAATAAATTTACACATCAAATGAAAATTTTCATTACTCATAAATTGCGTGCTAATAATAAAAGCTTTGCATAAATTAATAAACAACTATTCTTTGTTTTAAAATGATTTTTTCAAAAATATATCATTAATTTTTATACAACTGTTTATGTTATATTTGTTTTTATTTATTAGAAAAATTATTTTTTCAATCCTCTATCAATAGTCTTGAAATAAAACTATTGGAAATTTGATTGAGAGAAAATGAGAACTTGAATGATTTTTCAAGGATATTAATATTCCACCATAAATCAACATAGCAAAAGCGCCTTATTATCATTATCGAAAGTAATAAGAAGTTATTCAATTATTTTATAGAGAAAGAAGTTGTAATGAAGTTCAAATAAAAATTTTATACTTCTCAATATCAGAGTTTACTAAGATAAATATACAAATAAGTTTCTTTAATTTACCTCAAGTACTTAACAAAACAAATAATGACAACATTTATCTTATATTATAATTTAATTAATGAAAATATTTTTATATAAATTAATAAAATAAATATTAAATAAGAAAATTCTTAGAATAATTAGTACTTTTTATTATAGTTATTACCCTTTTGAGAAAAATACCAACAAAAGATGACAAATAATACAGCTACTTAAAGCTCACAGGAAAATTAAAATTTATATTCCTTTATATTTTTTTTTTTCCATTTTTCATTGTTAAATACTTATTCAACTACAATTCTATACTCTTTGTTTTTACTTTTGTCATTTAATTCATTGTTGTTTGTTGTACTCAAGTGAATACGAGTGCCAGAATGATGAAATATCTACTTTTTACTGTATATAAATAAGTTGTTCAAACAAATTTGTTATTATTCTTAACAAGATTAATAATTTTTTTTTTATTTATTTATGCAACTGTGAAATGAAGTTTATAATTTATTTCACATAGCAATCAACCCTTTGGAAATAAAGAGCTTAATAGCTTAAAAATGATCATGTCACCATAATAACGATTGAAAAATATCGTGGAGTAATGAAAAAAAAATTTTTCTATTCAAATGAATTCTTGTAAATTGAATTTCGGTTATTACGAGTTATAGATAAATAATAACGTTGATCTCATTATACTCTCAATATAAATAAATAAAAAATAGTTGGATGAAATTAAATGAAAATAAATAATTCTTTTACAATAAATTGATATGTTTAAATGTAAATGAAATGATTCGATGAATTTTCTGCCAAGATTGAACTTGAATCGTTGGAATATCGGAAGATTATAATGAGAAACAATCACAATGAACATTTCATTAAGCAAATGAAAATTTAAAAGTATAAAATCGCATGGCGAAGTTAATGGTTGTTTCAGAGTATCTACATTAGACTGTCGACTCTAGAAGCATGAAAAATGATGGTGGAAAAAGTCATCTACCTGTGACGAAGTAATGAGAATCATGCTTCTCACGATTCTGACAACGATAACCCGTACAACAAGTGAGAAAGATGTAAGTCTTTTTTTCTCTCTTATTCCACTCGACGTCTCGACGGGTCGTGAGTATCCTGATAAGAGGTATAGTAGGGGAAGTCTACGCAAGCTGTTAGAGCCTATATAGAGTTTCGTGACTACTTGGGAGTTTACGTGCGTGTCATATTACATATAAAATGTATATATGTGCGGCATACATATAGATGTTTATGTGTAATATATAAAAATAACTATACACATGGAGGGTTGTACTTTTATGAAGCTAGGTGAGAGTGTGAAGAAGCAAAAGTACAACTTTAGCTCTACTAGCTTCAACGTATATTGTGGGTTTCCGTTCCTATTGCCAATGAAAAAGATCGGTTCCAAGGGAAACGAGAGATGCCGGCTGTTGGGGTGCAGCCTAGCTCTCTCGTCGAGGGTTGCACGGCGCGTTGCCATGGGGATGAACTGAGTGGGGCGGATAAGAAAGAGAGAGAACGTGCTTCGGTCGATGCCAGCACACCATAAACTTTTATAGCCCTCTACTCCAAACTTCAGGCTAGACATGGACGTATGTTCGTTGCTTTTCCAATGCCCACAAGAGCTTCTGAAAATATTTTAACTATATTTTTTTTCACCAACTTCTGAAATTGTATTATAAAGTTCATCAATACACTCAGTTATGAATTAGAATATAAATGAATCAATTCATCTTTGGCTCCTTTTTTATTTTTTATCAAAAAGCCGGTAAAGATGAACATTGAAATAATCGAGAGAAATTTTTTAATTGGTTTTAACAGGTGATCAATTTTTAATTGGTTTAACGATTTTTTTGTGAGCTAAAGTAAAAGCAATTTTAACAAAAATTTATGAGATTATGAATATGGATTTTTTTATTGTTTAAACAACTTTTATTTTACATAATTTAAAAATTGAATTAATTTATTAATTATCTAAACTCACATGAAATAAATACAAAAGATTTTTATTCACATTGATATAACTTTATTAGAAAATATGATTGTGCTACAGTATGAAGCAGATTGCCGAATTGTCCCACAAATATCAGTGATTTGAAATATATAATTAATTACATTGAATTAGTAAGAATGCATCAATTAAATTGATAGCTTTGGTGAGTTAACCAGAAGAAATATTGATTTTTGATAAATTTATTATACATTCTACCGCACTGAAATATATGCGGTTTATGAATCATTAATAAAATATTTGTCAAATACAAATTGAAAGTCGATTATCATGATAAACTCCGAAGAAAAGATGAGGTAAATTTAATTGAGATTTTCTTGAAAGTAAACCGATGAAATATTTTCAGCGGTGGCCAATAATGTGATTGATACATAATTGAATTTTATAGTCAGATTAAAAAAATGAAGATAAAATATTTTTGACGAATTTCAAATAAAATTATTTTTCCATTACATTGAATTTTAACAACGTTAATCGTTTATCCAAATTATCTAATTAAGCAAATAATTTTGCAGAATTATCCTTTGTTAGCATTTAATTCATTAACGAATGAAATAAATAAATATAATTCCTCTATAAAACCATGGCCGACTAATTAATAATCTATTTGCTATTACTTGAAGCAAAAAAAAATTATTTTGTATTGAAGCGTAAAAAAGTAATAAAAACAAGTACACTGATGTACCGTAAGTCATCTTTTTAGTTCCACCCTTTTTACCATGCAGTTGTTTCATGTAGATTTGTGAATATATGTTTACTGGTTTTCGTCTACCTCTCTATTTTATTATGATGAATGCATAATAATGTAATGTAAATTGTGGTTAAAGAGTAAAGAAGTGCAAAAAATGTTTTTTTTTGTGACGGGGTTGAAATAATTAAAATATATTGAAAAAGTAGGAATAAAATTTCTACAATGTTGGAACGAAATATTTGAATTAACGAGCATTTCCAATTAAAATAATTGCAATTTTAATGGCCATCAATGTAAAATTTAGAGAAGCTAAACTTTATTAAATAGAAGATTAAATCATTTTCTCGTCACCGAGTTATCATTATAATCATTAAATTTTAAAATAAAAGTCATTGCGAATATTTTTCTCGTATTTGATTGTGGAGATGTACAGAATTTTTATATCTAGACGCCGCTCTTTTGACGCAGTCGTCAAACGATGATCAATATCATATCACGTTTATTATACCTACAAATATTTATAAAACGAGATAAAAAATGTCAATGCTTACATTCAGCTCTACATCACTGATAAATATTTGTTGGGTCTTGTGAATAATATAAGAGCGTAAAAATAGTTTATTTGTGTTTAGTACTTGAATAATAGATTATCTCAAGCGAATCAGAAAAAAAAATTCAGTCAAATATTTGCAATTAATTGTAGTCAATAAAACTACTTTACATAACAAAAAAAAAACTTCGTAACATAATATTGAAAAATATTCGGAAAAAAACCTGTAATGTTGTTTAGATATATTTTAAGTAGAAAAGGTCGAGATGTGGGAAGACATTTTTTCATTGAATTACTAAACAACAGAAATAATTTTTGTTTGAATATAATAATGTAACTGATTTTTTTATTTTAAATAATTAAAAATTCAAAAACAAAATTTTTTTATGCACTATTGAAAATTATTATGAATTAATTTTACCAGTTTTAATGTTAAGTAATTGATAATGTGCATGTCATGTGTTTGATTAAAATTGCAATTACGATTAATTAAAAATTATAATATACAAGATACTATGAAGTGTCTGAGTTCTGCGGAAACTACTTTACGCAAGCATGTTATTCTGATATTAAGTATACACAATGTATCCGTTTGTTTGAAATACACTTATCGTCAATAATTAAATAAACACTGCGGTGAGTCAATATCGCGACGATCGATTGATTTGTCTTCACAATTAGTAACTCGACTCCTTCTTGAAGCCATTGATAAAGTGTATTTCACATGCCGTAATGTATAAATTAATTTTTTATACTCATACAATATATAATACCCTAAATACTGTGCGCAGTCAAGTTCATGCTTGTGCTATAATTTAATTAATTTTTTTTCAGCTTTCTCAAGTAATAGAAAATGCACCAAAATGTGCTGAATTTCGGATAAGTAAATAATTCAAGTAGACGGCTTCTTAGTACTATTTCAAGAGTTTTTATGCTGACACTTAAAATAAAATTTTATTAAAAAAATCATAATAATAAAAAAAAGAATGAAGCTTTTAAATAAATACTTAATTACAAAAATACAAATAAATTTTTTCTAATGATTCTAATTAAATAAAATAAACAACTATATGGATAATGATTAAATCTAATCTGGTCTTATGGAAGTGGTAGGGTATATTCACTAATTCACTTTAAGAGAGTATGGCAGTAATATTGTAACTAGAGGGTAGTAATGAGGTAGTAACATGGAAAACGTAATCAGGCCCATATATGGCCATATTCTATTGCTACTCAAGCAATAATTCCAAATGAAGTCAGCTCACATGAGAGTACTTATAATTCAGCATATAAATTTTCAATCGACTATACATTTACCAATTTATTTTAGAAATTTACTGAGAGATAATTAAATTAAAGAATGTTTCAATTGAAGTTATATTATTAAGTTAACGTTTTTTTTTTCTTTTTAATTCAATAAATATTTCGTGGTTTCAGAATGTTTAATCACTTTGTGAAAATTGCAATGCAACTATTACATTTAATTTGTATAATCACGACAGCAATTTAATTTCGTTAATTGCAACGTTCTTTTGACCATCAATGATGATGGCTATCGTTGCTTCAATTAAATCAGATAGTCATATATAATTGTCTGAAAGACAATGTCTGGATACATTAGGATTATGAAAAGGACCTTTAATTTCTATATTGATTTCCACAGGAAATTATTTTGTTTTTATAATTCAAAAAAATGCTCATAATTTTATAGAAATAACATTAAATAAATATTTTATCAAAACTAATTCTAAGGAATACAAATATATTGTTGTTATATATTGCTTCTATAATTCTATTATCTAATCTATGAAGAGTTTTTCTTTTCCCCAACCATGTTATCTGGACTTTTATTTGAACTCAAGTAATTAGTTTTCATGTACTAAATTACTTTCTCCACAATTTTTGTATCGTTCTGCATTCTTCTCACGTTCAATATAGTTCTATTATTGATATTATCTAATGTCTAATGATACTCTTCACTGATTAAACAATTTTAATAAGAAATGAAAGAATAAACATTCTTATAAAAATATAAATTATTGGAAAATGGGTTACTTAATAATATTTTAGAATTAATATTTCACAAATATCTAGTAGGACTCTAAAATTTATTTATCATCCCAAACAGATTTTTTTATTGGTATTGAGATTTTTCCTAAGATATTTCCTCAAGTCCTAACATCTCTAGATCACTCGTCAAACTTTCAGTAGAATAATTTTTCTTAATTTAATAAATATTTTAACATAGATAATCATTCCATATGTAAATAAAAATTTCAAAAAAAGACAAAAGAATCAGTGTAATTGTCAAGTGTAAAAGTAGTTGCTACAAATTTTGAACATAATTAAAACAGAAAAGGAAATGCATTTATTCTTAATGAGTACGGCCTTTATTCAAAGTAATCCACAAGATTAAAGACATTTCTTCGAAAGTGAGTAAGCATCAGCATTTTGTCGCCTGCTTTGTGATACTCTGCAATACTTCACTTTCCACCCCGTTGATAATAACATCTTCGCACGAATTTTATTATATCAATAACAATTAGATTGAGATCAAAAGAATAAAAGATTTCTGAAGTTTACTTGGTAGTATTATCGGCATGTTTAAATTCTACTATGAATATTTATAAATACACCATCAGTTTCATGCGACAACTTTATTAATGCTTCGCCCAAGTAAAGTACTGTTTTTAAGTAAATTATTTTAAGTGGTCTTCTAACTTTGATTGTAGAATTATTACTATTACAATCTATTTTTTGTCAGTATTTTTATTAATATTCAAACTAATTATGATGTATGCAAATAAATTAATATTCTTTATAACAAATAGAAATTAATGAATAAAAATTCGATGAACATAAAAATTTAAAAAGATTTTATTTAAAGTACATTATTTTATAGAAATAATAGTAATATAGAAATAGTCATAATTATTTGAACGAACAGTTAGTACTTTTTGACAAATGAATAAGAGGGATGTTCCATTTCATGGATAAAGAGATCCTAAAACTTTCATGAATATTGAGATAACTCCACAGTGAATGTCTCTCTACTTTGATACATGTGAGTTATCTCAATATGTGTGAATCTACAATGCATATATAGTTGAGTGCATTTTTCCCTCCGATGAATGAATTTAAAATAGAAATTTTTTAGTCATTAATTTTTAATTCAACAGATCGATAAACTCTTTTTAAATTTCACTTATAATTTTTTTTTTTTTTTTTCAATCATTCATATTCATTTTCTCAATAATCAGAATTCACATTGTTTCAAATAATGAAATAAAATCGTCACAAAGTTTAATGAAAATATTTATTAAATGATTTTATGAAAATTAAATCTTCACTGACATTTTCTGAAGAACTTGGAAATCCAAGAAAAAAAAAAATTTCCAGATAAATAATTCATCAACCACCATCAACTCTACTCATATTCATGCACTGACAAAACTCCTAGCATGATCATTTATTAAAGCTGAATATGAATCACTTAAATCAATTATGACTCCATTAAATCAAAAAGAAATTTGAAAAAGGTGTAAACACGAACATGTAATATTTCTACACTCAGCTTAACAATGACAAAGACAATAATAATACCATAAAAGTTTTTTTGTTTTGAAGTAAATCAGAGTCAGACTATAAACATACAAGAGATAATTGTTGTCTTGCTTTCATATGGAATCTCGATGGTAAATCAAGATACTCATTTGTAGTCGAGACTGGCGACTTGAAATCTTGCTACTGCAAGAGAAGGAGGGGATACAATTTTAATTATTCGGTACATATAGGGGGCACCCGAGGTACACAGAATTGTACGTATACGTGAGGATATGAAGCCTCTTCTTCCTCCCTCGTATTCGCGACGTTCATCCTTGTCGCTTGAGTTCAGCTTTCAGGTTGAACAACTTCCTTTTCATTGTTAGTGTAACAAAACACGCATGCGTTATAGCGACCAAGAGCGACGATGTCAATCTAGCAAGGCGCACGCGGAAGATGTTATTTTTTTATTTGGATAAAGCTTACAGTCTGGTATTATTATTGCCGAAAGCGAAAATAAATAAAAATGGGGAAAGTACAGATTGCTGAGTATAAAAGAGTAACATATTATACTCACATTGTACGTCAATTATTGCTGGTGAACTTTCAATGGTAAATCCACTGGACTCGTGGTATGCAACACAAACAAAATTGCCACTGTCCAGTATCCTGTTGACTCGAGTTATGTAAAGATCCCCACCAACTTGATGTCGTCGAGGACTCGGTGCCAAAGGCTGATCTTTAAGCTTCCACGAGTATTTTACCCCTGTGCTTGGTTGGGTTTCACATCGCAGACGTACTGGTGAACCTTCTACAGCCTTCTGGTCTGCTGGGCTTACGGAAAAATATAATTCTCCTTCTTGGCCATGAGCGAGTCCAACTAAAACATACACACAATTATTCGTAAGTAAACAGCTGTTGACTGCTGCCGGATTATTATACCAACTCTTGTATAGGACAATGGCTCTTACAACGAAAAAATCATCCCAACAATTCTTTTTAAATATTTACTTTTTTTTTACACAAACTCTTTTTAATCAGTGAAATCAATTTTTTTCTAACATTTTACAAGAATAAACTATTTTTTATGCTCTTTCTTTTTCCAACTAGTAGTATAAATTATTTACTTATTTATTATTATTGTTGTTGAAAAAGTTATTGAGTGATGAAGAATGAAGTAATTAAATCTTATGAGTAATAAAAAGTTGAAAGTGAAAAAAAAAGATAAAATTAGTTAACTGCATCTTTTTTCGAAAATCCCCAGGTTCTCTAGAAAAGAGTGCGAAAGGTGTTTGTAGCACTTGTGGATGGCTGAGTTTCTTTTGAAGTCGAGGTTACGAATATAGTCTATTTTCTTTGTCGCAAATTTTGTTGAAAGCTTTTTGAGCCCATCAGCGATGAGTTCAATTTAGGTAAAGATGTAGAGTCTAGTGTCAAAAGAATTTAAATAAGAGTTGTTGAGTTTACAAGTCTTTTTATTTTTCAAAAATTTCATATTACTCGTTATCTTATTTTTGAATTAATTAATAACTCTTTTCGAAAATACTTGATACTTTAATCCCCAATCTAAGATTATCTGCATTTTATTTTCAAAGTATATTGTGATGTTTATTATTATTAAACATTAAAGAGAACGGAAACAGTAAGTTATGAGAATGCATAATAATCTATGACTCATTAATAAAATTATCAATAAAATCCCCTTGATTCATATTGAAATGGGTCTGAAAATATTATTGAAATCTAGCTAGGGATCAAAAGCTGAAGTTTACCAAACTAGAACCTAATGTAACACAACATACTATTATTGTTTCTAACAACATGCAAGCGAATTCAAAGAAGAACACGCAAGTGAAGGAAATCTCAGAAATACATATTATGGTTATAATATACCAGGTATATCATTCTCGAGGGAAATACGTTCATTTCGTGTATTTAAACTTGACAAAAAGACAAGAGAATACTCATATACATATTCACTAAATATAAAATGAGCAAATGAAGAATGGGTAAAACATATTTGCAAATTTTATGTTTGTGTCTGTTAATAAAAATTTTATGAAAAATATTTTTTTTAATGAATGAACTACCAGTATACTAGACAGTCTATAGATTCATTTCATTATAACGCATCTTTTGTAGAATTTCATTTTTATTTGTGTGAATAAATAAAATAATATGAAAATAATAACTTGTATAAGAGTGTGAAAAATGATAATAATTCAATACAATCATAATAGTGGTGAATTAAATTAAGGTAAATTTTGAAATGCATACTAATTGAACAAAAACTACCCCTTGACTGGCAATTAGGGCTGTTCCATTGGGGGGGATTCCATGTTTTACATGAAAAAATTACTGACATTTGTCTTTAAGAATCGTCAAATTATATTCTAGGAAATTTAAGACTCAGCAATAATTTGTATTTCAATTTTTATGAGGGTGTAATTTTTTTAAAACCAATAACTTTGAATGTCTCTAAAAATTATTGAATTATCTCTTAATTAAAGAATAAATAGATAGATAAGATAAAATGAAAAATAAAAAAAAAAGAGACGTTGTAAATTTAAAAAATGATGCTATCATTAAAATAATGTAAAATTGAAAGGGATTTTTTTATGAATGCCATACTGACTCTTGTCCATTTATCCCTTGGAATTTTTTTCAACTCAATATTTTTATCCCGCGCGATTTACGATCGTAACAGATTCAAGTAAAAATTTAACCCTCGGGGTTTTCATCCATCGTGTCGAATTGAAAGAAAGTAACAAAGATAAGAGGGAATGAGTACAAAAATTTTTTTTTTTTGCTAAAAAAGAATGCTGAAAGCGGGCAGAAGAAAGTGACTTTTTCTCATTCATTGTTTTTGCGATAGAGGTGAAATAACGAGATGGAGGGCGGTGGTGGCGATCGAACTGACTGGTTTGGTTGGGATTAAAGTCTCGAGTTGCTTTTATAAAGAGTAAGAAAAAGGTCCGGTATGCACAAGAAGGAAGAAACTGAAAATTTGGTCTGAGCAGACTCCTCTTTTACTTTTTCTCCTTCTTTCTCCCTTCATTCTCTGTGATTTTAAGTACGTCTCTCCAAACCGTTGGAGCTGGAAACAGTCCGCATACAACACGCTTGGCTATAAATCCATCAGACGACATGGCTAGAGCTCCCCCAGTTCTTTTATTTGTCCACATACACACACAGACACACCGCTCGTCAGTTTACCCATCTAATTCTAAAACTCCTGTACCAGGTATATAACCACTATGTAGTCCAAACGGGCTTCTTATAACTTCACTTCTCGATTAATTTTTTTTGTCATGTATGAATAAGACTCACCTTATGCTGCATTATATCCCTACAATATGGTTCATTTAAAATTTAGAACTCCTCATAGAAGCAAATGTACCCAGAAAATTATACACAAATATTGCTTTTCACATTTTATCTTTAAAAAATAATACATTTTTTTTGTTTATTATTTTTTAAATGTTTATTAACAATAAATAAATTTTATTATTTACCAAATTCCAAAGTTTCTAAAAATAAATCAGTTGAACAAAAACAAGTATTGCTGATCTAATAATTACTACTCCATATCATTTTCAAATTTTCCTATCATATGATATGTATCTCAGGATTACCCACATCACAGAAAAACACGCCTCTAACACATTAAATCCTTCATCAGCACAGCCAGAGATAAGACGGATAAACTCCATTAATATCTCTAACACTCTAATCTTATTTAAAAAAAAAAAAACAATTTCAAATATTAAATGCATGAAAGACTGATGTTTTTTATTAATTCATTCGAATGAGATTATTAAACTTCATCATCTTATTTAAAACTCAATATTTCAATTAAAGTTACATTACTTCCTTACGACATATTTCAATTCATAAACTAATTTGACTTTTTATATGATATAAGATCATTCGTAGTTTTGCAGAAGTTATATATTTAATGTGTTTTCCAATAAAAAGTTTTCAACAAATTGGCCAAAACGTAAGATGAGGAGATTATATTTTTATCATCATCTACATAATGTTGCCTATCATTTTTATTGAATAAAAGTTGAAGCTACCTTTACTTTTCTGCAATGTTTGCTAACTTTTATGTATGGATATCCAAGTCTCCATTTATCGATTTTTATTTACCGTATAATTTTGTATTAAATTGAAAATACATCGTTACTTTAAATTTTAATTAATCAATTCTACATAAACTCACAATGTTAAATAATTATCATACTAATTTTAATTTATTTCCCCCAATAAATAAACAAAAAAAAAAGAATTAATTACATTTTAAGGTTTAATAGTCAAATATTTTTATTTTGAAGTGTTTTTTATATAAATTGATAAAATGTGTACTCAAATTGCATATCATTGCATCGGAAAACAATAAATCTTAATTTCTTAATTTATGTATCAGTATTTTAAAGTGTAAACTTGTTAACTCCATTTACTTTGCAATGTTTTGATACTCCTTAAAAAAAGATAACACAACTACGGAAACGTTTAATTGGGGCTTGACTAAAAAAAAAAAATCCATGTCAACCATTTTAATAGAGAGAATGATAAAACATTTAAATTAAAAAGAACATTAAATCATTTTAAAATATTATTATTATTAAATTTTTATTAAATTAACATTAGTGCAACTCATTTATTTGTCTGAAAGTGATCCTAACTATCATTCACGCATGATCGCAAAAATTATGGTCTAATAAACCTATGTTTCTTAAACTTTTAATTGGTTTCGTGTGCTAACGCTAAGCTGAAGGTTCAAAGAAGGTTCAGAGTTCAACTTCAATCATGATCATAAACACACACCGGAATGACATTCGATAAAATAGAATTTAAAAAACAACCCAAAGTAGCACTACTGTACACTTTACATATATTTATATAAAAAAAGGAAAGTGATATATTATGAACAGAATGGTATGAAAATAAAAAAAAAAACATCTGTTGACAGAAGACCAAAATGTTCTGATCATGCTTGGAAAGCCCGAATAAATAATAACAACTGCAGTGGTATGAAAATTTTAAAAATAGTAGTCTATTTATGCTCAGAAAAATTTTTATGAGCGTCGTAGCATTATGTACACATGTATTTTTTACGTTACTTTTTTTTCTCATTAGTTTTATGCATGAGATAATTTTGCAAATGTGTGCACACTTTTCGTTGACGAAGCAGAAATTTTTCACAGATTCCACCTAACAATTATAGGATACACGGAAGATACTTTTTCACCAAGAAAAAATTAAAATAAAATGTCAACGAGTGATACGAGATATGCATAAAAATGCTTAGAAATATTCATTTAAAATGTTTTGAAATTTAATTCGGCTATTAGTTCATATGGAAGATACTTTTTCGAATGTCAAACAGTTTTTTTTTAAAATAAAAATACTTGGTATTATTATTTATAACAAAAAAAATTAAATTAAATTACACATAAAGATGTAATTTGGAGTGATGCATCTTTTCCTAAAAAATGGAATGTGAAAACGAAAAGAAAATATATGTATATATTTAACATTGTACCTCACGCAATAAACATTGGACCGGAAAAAGCTGCATCCTCAAGATACAGACGTTATCTTCTCCAATTCTTTGTATTTATGATGAGACCCGCCTCCAGTTACTCTCTATGCATGATTATACGGTTCTATTTTTATTATCACTCTCTCATAATCGTAAAAAGTTCATCCCTCTTTTAAAATTATAAAATCATATCAATTCCATGACGTACTTAATCTCTAGTTGATTATATGTTTGAAGCACATATCACTGTCCATTTGACAATCTACTGTGAGAAAATTCTTCATTACAATCAATTTTTCATTCGTCAAAATTATCAATAAGATAGTTGTTATATTCACTTTGTTAAATTTTAAAAATAGTTCTTTAATATATATTCATGCATATGTTTCCTCGTTCCTGTTATAAATCTCACTATGAAAGCTATTTAACAGGAGGTTTATTTCACGAATATCTGATATGGAGATATATTTTTTACTTAGAAAAGTATGTAGAGAAACGAGCTTGAACTAAAAGCATGCTTTTCATTTTTTGGCTGAAACTATTTTTGTATTTTTTTGTAAAATATTCTAGAAAATAGTAACGAAAGTTGAAAGTTCAGTAGACTGTTAATTTCTTGAAAACGATAAATTTATTATTTACAAAAAATATAGTTAATCAATTTAAATATTTTAAATAAATGACATATTGTAACAAAATATTAGATTAATCATCAATATGTTATTCAATCAACTCGAACAAGTTCAATTTCAAGGAAAATATACATTTAATTAAAGAGTAATATTATACCCTTTGCTGGTAATCTGAATCTCCAATGAGTCATTACACATTAAAATTGGTGGCATGTAGAAAGTTTTTTTTTCTAACGAAAATGTTATTTAATTTAATTATTAAATTAATTAATTATCATTTACACCAAATTTATAATATTTAATTGATAATTCAATCTAATATGATAAACAAGCCAGTTAAGTACATTTAACAAAGAATCAAATCAAATAAATTTGATTCAATTGGTCTGATTTACCAAGATTCTATAAATTTTGGTTAAATCTAATGAGATTTGATGAGATATACCACAATAATTCATAAAAATTAGTCAAGTCCAATTGGTTCCAACTTGGCTGGATGAGAATTCTCATGATGATTATCTAGGGTGAATGTCCTAAAAGCTGGCCAAAAAAAACAACTGTATTCAAGGCAATCTCATTTTAAAATACTGAAATTATAATGATAGATTAGAATTTACATATTAAAAATAACTCATTCTTTGATACGAACATATCTACTCCAAATCATGATAGATGAGGTTCAATGTAACTTGGTATTCTACATCTTACTCCAATTCCTTAAATATAGTTAGATTCAGAAAGACTTGGTGTTGCATAGTATTATAACCTGCAGACTGTTTCTAAGATCTAACACAATTGAATGCTTTTAAATTTAGCTTGATTCGACCATTTTTTTCCAAGTACTTGAAAGTAAAAACCTCTAAAAAATGCCATGACACTTGGCACTTTCAGAAAAGAGTTGAAATTTTATACAGATGATATTCGTATTCGTTAAGGTGTGAAGACAGTAAAAGGATAAAATGCACCATATAAAATATAAAATCAAGATGTTTTTTTTAAAGTGAGTAGACTGTAAACCATTTATTATTAAGTTTAAGGTAAATGTGATGTTCATACGTAGTGAATGAATAAACTTTAGACGTGATAAATATTTCATTACACATGGTTTGGAAAAGCATGAGCTTTACTCATTGAAACTCACAAGAATATAATTACATAGAGAGTTATAAAAAAATAACTTTGGTTTTTAAACCATTAACTGCAAGCCAAGTAGGTTTATTTTTCAAGAGCACTTCACAGGTTTCTTTTATGCTTTTCAAAAATTTGTTATGTTTTTAATAGGTCTCAGTTGACTTATTTGTTGGGTGCAAGGCACGAAATAACGTTGTAAGAAACAGGATAAAATATTTGAATGTACACCATGAACAAAGAAGCCGTAGTGGTGCTCGAGAATGAAGAAAGGAGAGAAGGAGAACGTGAAGACGAAGCAGAAGAAGAAGAAGAATAGAGCAAGAAAAAGGAAAAAAGAATTGGCCAACGATGTTAAGTATGGCTATATAATAGTAGTATGGCCTGGTCCCTTTCAGAGCATACCGTCGTTTTCATCCGTAACTCGAGACGTGTAATTAGGAACACCCGGACTCAAGATGAATGGCTGAGTAAGTAGTCGAGTTGAGAGCTCGCTCTATCCAAACCATGTATACGAGAATGATCGAGCTATAGGCCTTGTCAATGTTCCCTTCATCTTCAACTATATGCCTACAAATTCATCATTTTTTCATACAAATCCAACCAACTATTGAATATTTTTTATCATTTGACGCCAGGGTATCATACTGAAGCAATCTTCTATCAAGAAGATCAACAAGAGGAGGATACACAATAAGATCATTGATGAATTTTCATCTTTTTATTATTTTGTTAATTATTTTTTAATATTAATCAAGTGTAAAAATGTAATTTTTAAGTAATATTCTCAGAGGTAATTATCTAATAGCAGTTGAAATTAATAGCATGTACTTTGACCTCATAATTTTTTGATCACATGTACTATACTTATCGATGAAGATTCAAACCGGTTTGCAAGAGAAAAAGACAACATATTCCTGTTTTTAAAGAGTAAAAAAGATATAAACGGTATTTTATTTCTTTATTTTTCAAATTCATTTTAATCTCTTTTATATTGCTAATGTTATCAACGTAGGTTCTTTTTTCTAATTTCTTGCTGCCTAAATGGCTATTTCTTATTCTAAACATTGCTAAACCGGTTCATCACGTCATCGAGTAGACCTGTAAGAAGCTTCAAAATTTGTATTCTGAGATCTTGGAGTTTTTTAAAGGACCGCAGTCGAATATTATTACCATAGAATTCTCTTTTTATATTCTCATGTTGTTTTTTTCTTTTCTTATATTTAGTTTTCTGAATTTTCTATACATCTTTTTCGGCTACTCTCTTCTTCTCTTCACTGAGATTTTTCGCATTAATATATAACATGTCCTGTGAACAGAAGATATAAAGTTCATTGGCACGGCCCCACGATTCTCATTCGCAAACGTTTTTTATTTTTTTTATTTTTCTAGTGCTCTCCTCGACGTGCAAATAAAGAAAGAAATATTATCACGACGTCTTTACCCAGACGTTGTATATACATTCGACGTGCTAATCCAGCATAAACTTCCTCCCTGTATTTTTGGCGATACGTTCTTATACTTTAACCCTCTAAGAGTACAGTCATAAATATAGTTCAACCCTTAAATTTACGAAATAAAATAACGTATCATTAGTAAACAATTATTCCACAATAATCTTGATAAATAAAAATACATTCCAAGTTATGAGCAATTAATTATGGAGTTTTCTATTCGCTAAATTATTACAAATATTCAAGCAAATTTTATCTCAATTATTATTGAATTCTATTTATTTTTATTTGAAAAAAAACTTGAGATATGTAAACAGATTAAATTGTTAAAATAACAAAAAAAGAATAGAAAAATCCATAAGCTGTATTGGATTTCTGGTGGGTTATGTTGACCGTAAGACCTACACGTACACCTGATTTCTTGTTAAATTTTAGTCATGTTTATTTGTTATAAAAATATTTGTATTGTTATTTAGCAACATTTTTTTTTTACTCCTTTTCAAGATCACTTTTGATAAATACAATCCCAAGTTTGATTGCATTTGTCCCTCATGCGGGTAATGTTTATTTAATCAACTTTTCTTTGCTAAAGTGCAATAATAAGAATTATCAAAATAAATACTTCAAACTTAATTAAGTATTTAGTATGTAATTAATAAAAATTTAATCAAATTACTTGTCAAAGACGCGAATGATTATAATTATTTATGGCATGATGGAATAAAAAAAATTTGATTGCAAAAAAAAATTACTCCGTTTTATTTATCAGTCATATTGAATCCTTATTTGATGTATCTCATGTCAGTATTGAAAAAAAAAATCAATCTGAATCACGTGATAAATATTTTGCAATTAGAAAGTTGCTAATTAACGATACAATCACCCCTTGGTTGTTTGCAAACACATGAGAGGGAGAAAATAGGAATATGACATGGGAATCAGAAAAATAACGCCGGAGTGGAGTATGAAGGGAGAAAATATGAAGAGTGCGATAACGCGAGGAAAAAAGTGCATTACTTTGGTGTTAATTGGAGAGCTAGAGAGGTAGACTAGTGCAGAAATGATGAAGTGAGCATGGAGGAATAGAAGAAAATATATATATAGAAAAGAAAAAAGAATAAAAATCCAACTGAATAGCACATTCGAGGGTAATCACAGAGTGATGTATGATTCACCCTTCATCGAAATATATCTCACTTTTTAAATTAGTTAATATAAAAATTTTTTACTCCCTTTTTTATATACTAGGGTTGCACACAAGTAAGTTATACCGGCTAATAATGCAAAGATGTGTTCTATTGATTCTTACCCAAGAAACAGAAGGCCAGACTCCTCGCCAAGGAGTTCATCGTGCGATCGAACTAACGAAAAAATGATTCGTTATACACCCAATTTCTAAACTACTTTAATCCGTCAACATACGCGTTAGCTAATTTCTTTTTATTCATTCATTTATTCATAATCACATTGCTTGGAAATATTTCAAAAACTAAAAAAATTATAAAACATTAAAAAAGCATTTAACCGATATTACCTTAATGTCTAAGCAATATGAAAGAACGCGTCGAACTAAAGCTAAAATCTGGAGTCCATGCCGGGTAACGCTGACCCCATCACTACCGCGTTGCTAACTGAAGAGTGGGGAGGCCATTTCACACATTTGCCGCTAGGGAGCTCAACTGGTAAAACAGACATTCTACATTTCTAATTGTCGGTAAGAAGCCAATAGTCATTACCACACTTATTTGTTTATTTTTTTTTTCAATTTATAATTTAAAGTGATTGTTGTTGTAGAATGCAAGTTTTTGGAACGAATGAAAGATTAAAAAGTAAAACGAGATAAAAATAATCATTTCCAGAGGTAAGTTATGATAAATAATACATTGTTTACATTCACACAAAAGTTCGTTAAAACAATTTTATGTCTATAAATTGAATTTAAAAAAAAATAATGAAAATTTTTACTTATTTTTTTAGAATAAATATTGTACAATGATCGTTATTGAAATAAAAATAATCATTATGGTACAGCAATGGGTTTTATGATGACTATGTTTGTGGATAATATATCAGGTTACAACTGAATGCAAACTAGGTACCAACAATTGCAATTATATATTCAAGTTGAAATTGAGAAACTTTTAAAATAAAATTGCCAATTAGTAATAGTTTATTATAGATTGCAGGACTAAAGTTAAGATATTACGATTGATCCATTTACTTCTACGTTCATTTTGCACGCTAGTTACACTAAGTAGTCTGAAACAAAGTTTATATTGAACAATGCTTCTGTGATATTTAGAAATTTTGATCAAAGTTAGCGTGCTACCTGAACACAAGGTACTAGAATGATTGCAAAATTAAGTGTAACAAGAAAATTAAGTGTTTATCAGTATTCAACTATTGCTATAATATATTTGCAACTGTATTTTTACAATTTTTTCAATCCACTTATAATCATCTCTTATTATTGAAACATATAATAATTTAATTATTTAATGGATATTCCATTTTTCTAAGATTAGAAAAATAGTATATACAAATTCATACTTTAAAAAATATTAGAAAATTTTTTATCGTGGATTTCATACCAAAGTTCTGCTGTTGAAGGAAATAAAAATAAAGGAAATATGTATGAAAATTAATATTTTATATGTGATATTTGCTTATCAATATATTATTTAATACATTTTATGACATATTTCACGTCGTTGCTTTTCATTTTGTATCTTATTTCTTGTAATAATGAGATTTATAATAACAATCTAAACAGTCACATACTTACATTTTTACTTTTTTATTATATATTTATATATAATCATTATTCATTTATACATTTTTTTTATATCTATACTTTGTCATTTTACACATTTGTCTTTTTTTTTTTTTTAATGAAGTGGTATATAATTCGAGATCAACATTCTATTTCAGTATATATAACTTTATTTTAGTCTTTATCACTTCAATGCACGTGAAAAGTTTTAATAATATAAATATTTCACTATCAATTTATTCAAGTGTCATAATAACTCTAATATAATAATTTTGAATTTCAAACCAGTTTTAATTTGTTAAAAAATTTACAAATCAGAGTAAAATTAAGAAAGATATGCCATTTATAATATTTATGTTACTTTCAGATAGTAGGCAGATAATCGATTTTAGCATTTCATAAAAATTACAACTATCTATTTAATAATTTAATCACTATCAAGTTTTTTTCATTATGTATAGTATTTACACTATATATAAGTATATTGGATTACCATATAATAATGTATTTTCTATTTTCGTAGTTTGATTACTTGTTAATTTTTACGCATTCACACGTATAGACAATTTCATCAGATTTTAAAAAGTAGTAGACTCAATAACATTATTTATATAACTGGTTTTATTTATTTAATGGCAAATTAGAACTAAAATTTTCTTCAAAATGTTATCATGGTATTTTTCTTGTCACTATAGATATGTCACAATCAACAATATTCCTTCACATTGTTATTTTGGTTCTATATTCAAGACTTGTCTGCGAAGCATTATAAATTCATATATAGTTGTTGCTATTGTTGATGATATGTACTATATTTTGAATTTATGGATGACTCGAGAATGCTCTTACAGCTCTTGGGAATTTCGCTTCCATTGTAATTTACATCATAAAATTTGATATGCTAGGTACTTCTTCTCAACGTTATCGTTGAAACGAAAATGTCCTTTAAGCTTTCGCACATTGAACTGATCAATTGTTGAATGATAAGTTATCTTCTCTTGCTAATTTGTAAATTCAGACGAATTCAAAACATTGCACTCTGAACACTCTTTTCTTTAAATCGAATTATTAAATATTTCTGACTAGTTATTTTATTTGAATTTATTTAAAATAGTTGATATGTACGACGATAGTCGTAATTTATTTTTATAATTTTAAGTGTAATAAAAATTTTATTTGCGTTCACCCCAACCTGCACTATTATAGAACCAAGATGATGCATTTTCATCTCTTGTTTTACTCCACGTATTGTCTAAACTCCCGGCTCCACTATCCTGAAATATATTAATTTTAAAATTAGATTTATAAAATACAAAATGATCAATTACATTTTAATTTGAAATTCAAACTAACTAAATAATTTTACATCAAACATGAATTATTTTCTATTCTTAGTGTGCATCACGTTTAGATAATTTAGGATTCTTGATTAGAATTAGAAATTATTATTAAATAATACAATATCTAATAATGTATGACAATAATTACTAACCACTACATTCAATTGATGGGATGCTGGTGAGAGATAATCCATATTTGAATAATAAGATGAGTAATTTTGGTAGCATTGTTGTTGAGAAGCTGTAGTAGTCCATGCGAGTCTTTGATGGTCCCCAGGGAAACTTCCGCTGCTTTCCGTGATTGCTGGACTCCAAATGCTACTGCTGCTACCCCCGCTGCTGTATACTGTTCCACCCAACTGAAATATTAATACATTAGCGTATTAACACGTGTGACACGCGTGTCTTTTCATTTCTCATATTCTTAATTGTTTTCAGTATCAAGTTGCAAATTTATTATTTACAATGATAAAGAGAATTCGTTAGCTAATCCATTGACATTTGATACAAAAGTGGCCAACTTAAATCATATCCTAAGGGATAATACAACTGATTGACATACAAATGCACATGCAAATAATTATAAATTTCGAACAATAATGAAAATAAAATAGAATTATTTCGTTATAAAAAATTGACTAATTATTAATTTATAAAATCGTTAAAAATATTTTTTTTTTCATGATAAACGTAAAAAGAAATTCATTGATAACTGATTTATCCACAGTTAACAATAATTTAGTTTCATGATAACTCACACTAGGTGGCGTTGTACTCGCAGCGAATAGCAAGCCAGTGGCGCCACCTGCAGGCTTGTATTGAGGAGAATCTCTGAGAAGTGCGGGAGAACTTGCTGCTGAACCACTTGTTCCTCCACTTCTGAAAACAATATTCTTTTGTTAAAACACAACAAATACTCAAAATAAAAGTAATTGAACTACAGCTAATATCCTGATAATGAAACAACAGATATTAACCAAGGAGAAAGCTGCAGAACGAAATTCTGTCTATGGTTGAGAAAACGACGCTCGGTATGTTTTCTGTTTTATGTATATATTACTCATTTTAATATTTTCTAATAAGTCCACTTCAAAACTATGAATACTTTCCTTGCTTAAATATGTTGATGATATATAATTTTATGATGGGCCTTATTATATATCAAACAATCAAGGTGATCAATAATTTATGAAATTTTCAACTACCAATTAGAATAAATTTTTTCATGCGTAAAAATAAAGAACAAAGTCGTTAGACTTGAATAATTGCAAAGAATTCGACAGGTAGCAAGTTCTAAGTAGAGATAATCTTAAATAATACTTTGTTTATTTTAGAAAATATCTTAGGATTTGACATTCTCCCTTAAGCAGTTTTAAAAGTTGACAATTGTTATATTTCATTGTCTTTAGTATTAAATATTTTCTTAGAAGAACTGCACAATTGTTCTAAGCGTAAAGGAAAGGAGGATAATTGAACACTTACAGTGGTGTCGTTGCAGGAACTGCAGCTGCTGGCGTGGGAGTGGTTGCTATCGATGGGCTTTTGCCCGATGGTGAACTGCTCACTGGATTTGCAGATGGTTTTTTTGATCTAGGAGCTTTTTCTTGTTGTTGTTGCTGCTTTTGCTGTTGCCTACACTTTGCCCGACGATTTTTAAACCACACCTGTAAATCAATTACTTGAAATGGTACCACGAAAATCTAGAGTGATAGTTGGAGATGATAACCAATGTTAGTAATCAATTATGAAGTAAACATAATGAAAACTAACTGAAACATATGAATTTTTATCCATTTATCAGTTAAAGATCTAGTTAATATGAGCGTGTATTTTAATGATTGTTAAAAGCTTCTGGATTTTGGTTACATAGATACACAAGTCATTTGGTTCTCTCTGATTATAACATTGATACAGAATATGATGAAATGACCAGTATTAGTTACGTAAATGGAGTTTTGATGATATCTATTACTTGAGGCCCGTTAGTGAATATGTACAAAGCTTTATTAAATTAACCTATTGCTGATAGTACAGGGGTATAAATGATGGTAGAGTATCTAGATTGTGAATAAAAGATACATTTTGTATCAAACGTATTTTGCAATAATTTTAATGGATTCTCTTTGATATCATAATATAGCAAATGAATATAATAACACTTTGCAAACGCACTCGTTGAATGAAAAGCTCGAAATTTTTGTATGTTAAAGGTTTCAATAGTGATATCTATGAATGATATAGCTTATAAACTTGAAGCTCATTATTCTATGACAATTGATGAAAAAAAGGTAACTTTCTAATATATTCATCAATTTGCTTACTAATCTCATTTAAACTTGTTATTCGAATTCAGAGCAAAGTTATATTGATTTTCTTATATGATTTTGTGATGATTAAGTTTAGCAATCTCCTTCAAAGTTAGACCAACTATATATTAAAGTAGTTGACAATAGTTTTAGATAGAAATTAGTACTTTAAATTCGAATTGTTAGATGCTTTTTAACAATATTTTATGTTAAAAAATGTTGAAGATAAACTCAGTTGAGAACATGAATAGAAAAGAGAGCCGCTGGGAAGCCCTGTACGATCAATGTTAGACGAGTAGCAAGCTTGGGTTTCTCCTGAGATTTTCTAGAGAATATGTAGCTTCATGTAAACTCATGAAAATCATGTTACAAATAATTTTTTATCATTTTCTACTCGATTAAAAACAAACAGGATTGATAGAATAAGCTCTCAATGGCATGAAATTCGATCACGTTTAAGAATTAATTATCCATTTATCTTTTCGGGTTTTGATTCAGAAAAAAAAACCTAATGGTATTGTATAATGTGGAGAATCTAAATTATACTTTTCTATTCGGTGATTCTTTTTTACACCAAAACCACTTTAGTCGTTTGAATCACTATTGACTTTTACCAGAAAAAAATATTCAAGTCAAGCTCGGACGTGCATGAGACTATGGATGTTGTTCAATACCCCATTGAATTTTCTTTTAGACCAGGTGTCAGTGAGACCGGGTAATTGCGGCAGCCGCGATATGTCTTTTGCCTTTGGGGATGATGAGGGCGGAATATGCGCACACACGCTCTTCAGTTGTACATTTAGCTGAGAGCGTGGCTGTTATTTTACTATATTTCATCTACCTATGAGCATGTAATAGACAATGGGAACAATAGTAGACATTAGGATAAAACGAATCTCTTTTCAGTTAGAATTATTTTTTAGTCACTTTAAAAAATTCAGAGAAAACTGGGGTATCTCAAATGTTATATCGGTAGCTTTTATCATTTTCAATAGTTTATTTTGGTCGTTAATCTAAATTTAAATACGTTAATTTATTTATAATATAAAAATTTATTTTCTATCAGAAATAATTTGAATTAAGTTTCATACAATGAATGTTGAAAAATATCTTATTAAAAATTAGTCAATTAATTGTTTTTATATTATTTTAACAAAGTTAAAAACATGTCTAGGTCGCGTTACAATATTAACAAGAAAACGGAAAAAAATGTATAATGATTCTAATAAAATAATTGAATTAGCGAAAGGAAATCACTGATCGATCGTGTTTTTACGGTATCTGCTATTTTATTCCATTCTTTGTGTACATGTACATGCCTACATTTGACACTCGAATTATTTATTTCATATATGTTAACTAACGAAAGTAAAATTATATATAAAATTGATTGAATATTTACAACAATTTTCTTTTAAATAAACTAGTACTGTGTATAATTTAGAAAATTTTAAATTCCAATGAACTAATACAATAATAATAACAAAAAAAAATTTTACTCTATTTTTCACATCTTCATATTATTATTCTATTGGAAAAAAAAAAAAATTGCTAAGACTTATTTTGAATCAGAGTTTGTTTAAATGATTACAAAAGTTTCCATAATATTTTATAGCTTCTTTAATAGAATAAAAATTTACTATCCTTCTAGGAATGAAAGTAAATTTTTTCAAGGAGATGTAAAAAATGATATGTTTATACTTGAAAATAGAAAAAAAAAAATCATTTATTAGTTTAATGGAATTTTTTTTTTTTTTTAGCACGTGATATAAACACGTGTGCATGCGAGGACACGAAATGTCTATAATTGAATTAAGTCGTGGTTGTAGCGATCGATGTCTCGTTATGTCCGCGTGCCGACGCTCTCTTAACACCCTCAAGAACCCTACACAACATATACAGACACGCATGTAGTTATATATGTATCCCATAATGTCGCAAGCCTTGTCTACTATGCTAGCTCCCTCGGCTTCACACTCTCTGACTCCTATTACAAGTATAATCCGAAACAATGAAAATCTTTCACTACTTTGCACCCAAAATTCTATTATGAATATATGAATAGCTATTTATTTTCTACTTGGGTGATTTCAATTGATTTTGATGAATACGAATGAGTATATTAAATTTTTATTACCTGTACTCTTGATTCAGGTAAATTGATCTTCACTGCTACTTCTTCTCGCATAAATATATCAGGGTATCTTGTTTTTGAAAACAAATTTTCTAAGACATCCAACTGAGCTCGACTAAACGTTGTACGTTCTCTTCTCTGTTTTCTTGGATTACCTAGAAATATCATTCCTATTTAATTCTTATCAACATTTATGAAATAATTGATTTTCAATAATTAAAAAAATCTTTTAATTGAATATCTAATTATTTCATTATTATATGATCGTTTCATTACACATTCTATGCAAATTATATCATAATTTATTTGTTACATAATAAATTTACATTATGTAAAAAATATTTAAATTGATTTATTCCACTTTGTTGGAATAAATCAATTTAATTATTAAAAATCTTTCAAGAAAACTAAAACTTTTTTAAGATAATGAACAAGATTATTGTTAGCACCATCAAGTGATCAACTTGTAATGGAGATAAGTCAAGTATGAGCTATTTAATAAATATTAACTTGAATAATAAATTGAAAGAATCACTCACAGTAGTAGGACTCACCGGCGGGAGAACAACCGGGATAGCCGATAGTCCCGTGAAGGGCTTCGATGGGTGGCATACCAAGTGCACCAACGTATGGGGATGATTTTAAAGCACCGTAGGGGCCAGCTGCAGTTGCTCCAAATCCTGCAGGTCCAAATAAATCGCTTGCTGATGTTGTTGATGCTGCAAGACCACCAAGATCTGTTGCCCCGGCACCTCCGCCACAACCGGAAGTACCACCGAGGCTATTTGGCCACATTGCAATCCACCACGATTGGGAAGTTTTCGCCTCCCCAAAGAGGCGTTCTCGTTGATGACGTTTTGACTTGTCTCTCTCTGAATACAACACATATTTACATTGTTTAATTTTTATTCTTTTGAATAAATAAAAGATCAATTATGAATAATTATAAATTACTCATCAATTGATAAAATCAGTAATGGATATTTAAAATAATATTAAAAAACTTAATTAACAATGTTGGATTATTTTGTGGAATTGTTTTGAACCAGTGATTAAATTATTTTTATAAAAAAAAATAATGAAGAGTAATAAAACAGATGATAAGTTCTGTTGAATAAAAATCATATGGATGAGATGTTTATAAATTAATAAATATCATAATGAATAATATATAACATGAAAAAAGGAAATTGATATCCAACACGTCTGGAATATAGAAATGTCGCTGGCAGCTGTGTCGACCGATTAAGGATAATCCAAAGATGCAACACGACTCTTAGTCGTTCTAGCCTGAAGCTGGTGTATATTTTTCTCCACTAACCCACTGCGTTTGTTTCGGGTTAACTCTAAAAACGCGCAAGAACTCGAAACCTAAAAGACACTTATGCCTTTTCTATAAAAAGTTGTCTTCTTTAATTTTTTTTTTTTATTTTAATATTAAATCCCAACGTTATTCTCTCAAGTTACACATTCTCACAGTTGTTCTTTGTCCACTAGTGTGCTATCTCATCAATTTATTAGCCACAGACACGTCCTGACATACGACTGTCTTTTTAACAGCTGCCTTGATCGTCATTGTTCTACACCTCCCACATGTTGCGGATTATGGACTTTTTTAATCAGAGGTTAATTAACATCTGATATTCAATTTATTATCTAAACAAGTATGTTAGAATATACTTTGTGACGTCTGCATCTTTTTTGCCAATCACATTTCTATCAATTTTTTATTCATCATCAAGTGGAATACCATTAACATGAGAGCATTTCAATTGGACATTTTGAATAATAATTACTATTTTATTTATTTAAAGATTTATTAAAGAGTTCTAAAAATTTATACACTCGACTAAAAGCTGAATGATTACCCAAAATAATTGTTTGAAAAAACCAAACTACTGGTACTTGTTCACTTGAACATCAATCCATCAAACAAAATAATATTTGATATGAAATAAATTTTTAGTTGCATTGCAAAATGAAAAAATTTATTTGAAAATGTTTTTTCAATTCTACAAATTGAACCTCAGTTTAACCTGAATAAAAAGCAGACTTTATTTTAAAAAATGACTACAAAATACCTTTTATCAAGGTATCATGTCAAATAAATTTTCAATTAATCTTCATTTAGGAGTTGAAGTATCTCCAAAGATGTTGATCAGGAATATATCTTCTCCACAGACCTCATGACAGAATTTTATCGCAATTGATCATTTAAACATGACACCATATATAGTAGTGAAAAAAGGCACTTATCAACATCAAACACGTGCATAACCACTTATAAGTTGAATCATTTTAAAGCCACCTGGTACCCACACGATGATGTACTTGAAAATTACCGAAAGAAACAAATCCGGTGCAATGAAGCATTGTTTCATTACCATTTTGACTTGGAAATATATTAAAAATTTAAGAAAGCCGATTGCTTGCGCTTCACTAAACGTTTAAGAGTCGTTCATACTTGTTTTAAACATAAATCCTTTCTGATCATTCATGTACCAACTCTTTATCTCTGTGCACTTTGAAATCACACTTGGACCAGTACCCCGCAAGAATACTAGTCGATTGGCCGACAAGAGGACACTTATAGGACGTGTACAACCCTAAGCAAAAGGCCTCCAAAACGCCCCTGGAATCAATTTCTAGCTGGTACAGCCTCCAGTCTACATAGCAAACACTTTGTGTTACCAATAGATGGATATACGCCACCATCCCTAATGACTGCTAAATCCCTATTATTGCTCGTATGTTGGAACGACAGGCTAAGGGGTAGTTTGGTCCCTGGGGGTTGAAATGTGCGTAGATATACAGACAGGGTGAGTAGTCCGACCGTAGAATTCGATTTGTCGAGTCGATGACTTTCTCAGTAACGTTATGGTTTGCTTCAGAAAGATCTGGGATTACTGGAGAACTCCATTCGCAAGTGTCTTTTTTTTATCTCTTCCAAGATGGAAAAAAGATTGGTATACACTGAAGCATAGATTCTAGAGAGGTTTTTTCTTCATTAAAAATGTATATCGTTGGGTTCAATTTTTGGCCAACTTCTTGGGGTGGATTATCTTCAGTTATTTAATTAATTTATGTTCAGCTTGGTTTGCTTCAATACTGGGGAATTTTGGAATATATCTGCTATGTATTTTGAAACAATTAAGTACGAGGTAAATAATACTTTCTTAACAATATCTTTTTTTTAATTAGAGTTAAATTGAAAGAGTAATGATGAAAATGAAAGAAAAAGTTGATATGAAAATTTTGATTTATCAGCTTGAGAATTATTAGACAGCAGTTAGCCATTTATTTCAAACTAGATATACCAAATCGTAATTCTATTGTGATTGTCGATAAACCTTACAAAGATATGAAGAATGTAAAGTGAATTTCTTTATCCAGTCAGCTTTCATAATAAACTTGTGTTGGTATTATATATATATATATGTATGAATTTTATTTACAGTTATTGCCTATTCGTCTCAAAACATAAAACGCAGGATTATACTATAAATCGAAGATTTTATATAGACATCAGGATAAACAATCTCGACCTTTCAATGACGAATGCTTATTTTAATTGAATGGATGTTCTCTAGAGTTTTATTTTTTTAACAGTTTAGGTTTGAGATATTTTTATGCTAGACTCTCTTTAGCCATCAATAGCCTATTTGGTTAATCTTATCCATACTATAGCTCCAAAAAACTTAAGTTTGTATTTTCCAATAATTTTTATAATTTATCCCTTTTTGTAGTTAAAAAAGAATTTATCAAGTATTAGGTTAGGTATACCAACTGATTTATTGATTCAGTACTTTAACATAAGCCAATGAAACTCAATTTATTCCTCACATCATCACCCTAATAATAACTCGAAGAGCTTGTGATTATCAAAGTATTCTTGCAAAAATTTCGCCAACTTTTTATCTGAAATCTTTTTTTATTTAATGTAACAAGATCTAATAAATTATACTGATGAAAATGACAGATTTAGAAGAACCTTAAGTGAAAAAAGGTCAAGTTGAAATTGATTCCAGTGCTGCAAGTCATGAAATTCAATCTACATTATTTTTAATCGAAAAATGAAGTTCATTGTTATAAAAAGCAAACTTTTCTGCTTACATAATGCATTAACTGTCACTAAACAACAAGATGAATTTTAAAATGAATATTTTGGAATTAAACTTTTTTTTAAAAATAACTGTTAATGACAATAAATTAATTCTGAATTATTTAAAAACTACAATTGATCTGTTAATAATTGAATTAGTATTTTATGAACAATTTTATCACGAGAATAAATTTTTTAGAAATTCAAAAAAGTGGTTGATAATAAGAGTTTTTCGATTGTAGACCAAATGACCAAAGAAACGATTGAGAAGTAAGGAGTCTTGAATGTTACGTGCGACCATTATTTCCTACGAGTGTTTGCACACAAGAGTATTGTTCTTTGAGAGTACTTGTCGGTTTACATGATGGTCGTATTGGGGAGCGTACAGTACTTTCCTTGTAAAGAACATTGAGGGTGGAAAATATTACACAATAATGAATATTTGAAAAAAGTTGGTATGACAAACAAGCCACAAAAAATTTTTTATTACTTCTTTAATAAAAATATAATAATAATAATAATGAAAGAAAATAAAGATTTTTCTTATATTTCAGTACAATTTATGAACAATGGTGTATTGACACTAAGATCTTTGTAAAATCAATTGTAATATTTTTTTCATGTAAGTATTGTAATAATTCTTGTAGAAGAGAATTTTTCGAATATAATTGCATTAAAATTACCTTGCTTTTCTCAAGTTAAGTCGACGAGATTATCATTGCAGGCACATTTTCTTTGTGACTTTTTATTATTATGCTTCAATGCTCTAGCGAAATAAAATCCTCTGAAGGTTTTCTGAGAGATAGGAAATATAAAAATGTGTAGCCAGCTTATATAGTACAGGCTGCAAAAACGATCCCTCCATCATTCAATGCAACTTAACCTATCCTGTTGTTGTGGGCTCATTGAGCGTAAAACTTAATTCCCGTGGAAATTTCGTCAAGAGTATGGTTGTATATAACTTGTAGGGTGGTTATAGTTCTTACGGCTTTTAGTGATTTTTTCTTCACTTATTTTCTCTTCATCGAGATATCCTTCAGTCATTCTCCCTCTCTTTTCTGGTGACCTTTCATCATTTTTTTTTATCTCTATGTAACGTTCACGAATCACTCCCAACTCAGTAATATTCTCCGGAGGTTTTATTCATGGTACCAAAATGAAAGAGAAAGATGAGAAAAAGTTCGACATTTTGGGTGGGCACGTCAGCCGTTTCTGCTTGACTCTCCTCCCTCGATCATCGCTGCATAAGTCTTCGAGACGCATTCACACGTGATAAGATCGAACTCGAGCAAGGAGTCGACCGCCCCTGTCGTTAGGCGAATTGACGAGGTTCTTAACTTTGTTGGTATTACTTTGTACAAAAGGTAATATTTCTTATTGACTCATACTCTCTTTTCGACAGCTTTTTTAAACTTTCTATTTACATGAAAGTCATATTTTTACTCATTTACATCAATTGTACATTTAAAAATATCCACTGACTTATTTTTAAAGAACTTATTCCGAAGTTAAAATTACCATTATTCTTCGCTTTTCTCCGTGTGGTCATTGCTGAATAATAACGGTCATTTTTAGTTCTGAGATAATTTTCAGTTCTGAATAAGCTATAGCACACTAAATATTTATTAATCAAATTTAGAAAAAATAAATTTCGCTTTCAAGTAAATTTTATTACAATAATTTCTATTAATCAGAATTCCAACAGCAAATTTTAAAAATTTTCTTTTTTATTCTTCTTCTTTTGATTATTATATTAAACCAGTTTATTTTATTGTAAATCAATGAATAATTTACTTTATATATTTTATATTTTGTAAAATGCATATCATTTTTATAACTCTATAATTTTTCATTCATTTTTATCATTGATTCATATTGGTAAAATTTATGGAAGCACTCGATTTTTTATTAAATTTTTTGAGCCTGTTGTCTCCGTGCAGTTGATAAAATTTTATCGATTGTAATTTCCTTCGCTGAATTTTTTTTTAATTTCAGGCAATTCTAAATAATAATTGCCGAGTTTAAGAGTATGTGAGGAATGATTTTTCTATACTTGTCATTCGTTGTATGGTGCTTACTTATCAGCCATTTCACCATGAGGATTTTTAAATAAATAACAAAAAATTATTTACAAGATTTAACTCGTCATCAAGACGAGAGTGATGTTAATACGACTGAATGAGAGAAGCATAAAGTTAAATATGTTGATGTCTTGAAATATAAGTTGGTATTATTGAAGTAACTTCCATCATTTTTAGATTAATGTTTAATTAAAAATAAATATCTTTTTGTATAACTGATGGATAATAATCGATAAATAAATGGCATAAAATGATAAATACTTATTGAAAGTGTGTGCAAGGAACACATGAAATGTTGATGAAGAAAAAGTTATATAGTTATCTTATCACCTATAGAAAGGTGCGGGCGGATCTCGACCTCGCGCGGCACGAGCTATAGGGCATACCAAAGAGATTATCGTAAGCAGATTATTTCCGTGAAAATCCTGCTGGCCGAGTCTCGCCACACACTCAACTCTCACAAAATAGCATCTCGTGTTTTCAAACTGCTGATTGCGAGTTTTTACCCTGCTATACTATGCGACTACAAAAAACAGTATCTTTGACCTATGATACTCCAAGTATGCAGTGGAATCTTTGTATAAAAACCGTTCAACTTTGTCATAATAATTATTCATCAGGATCTGTATAATGTACAAAAAATAAGAATTATAATGAGGGAATAATAGAAGCTGTTGAAGGGATATTATCTCTGGTAGATGGAATTTTCAGACTCCAATTCAATCCGGTCTATCATGTCTGATATTAATAAATATTTTGTTCTATTCAAACGGAGTAGAACAATATCCTATTCAGAATACTAAAAAACGTCCCATTAATTAGTTTGTGTTTATTAATATCAAATATTCAAATTAACTGCTATGTTTATTTCAACTTTACTTTTCAAATCATACAAATGATGATAATTTTTCCAATAGTTATACATTAAATATAATATATCTAATACTTTAATGTCAAAATATCGATGTCAACATTACTTATTATTTATGAAAATATAGATGAAGTATTTATATTGGTATAATTAATTAAGTATTGTCACAGACAGATTAATAAAAAATTCTATTAATATTTTTTATTTGATATGTGAAATGATGGCCGTTAGAATTCAATCAATAATATGTGGTATTGTCCGAAATGTGAATAGTCATAACCACAAAACTCTGATACCTACATTGTTGGATAACCGCGTCATACAATTTACACCACAAATCGTTGATTGTGTGTAAACATTGACTGCTGTATTTATATCATTCATAGTTAATATAATAAATGAATATTCCATGTTCACACCATTGCCATATAATTACAGAGATTACCATAGAAATAATATTCCATATGATAGTGTATTCAATTGATAAACCACAATTCATAAATTAAAAAAATATAAAATAATCATAAAAATAAAAACTATTGGTATGAATAAATATGAATTACTTACAAAATAATTATTCCATTCTATTTAATTGATAAATTATTAACATTAATAATTACTTGGCTTATTCAATGCATTTTAAATTTATTTGTAAATAAACTAATTAATGAGTACAGTTTATAAAAATTATTTAGCATTAATATACTTTAAATAAATTTTTTTATCGGATATAAGTATTATTGAACATAAACAAGTCTGCTTTTGGAGCAAATAAAATTTTTAAAAATATTAAAGCCAATTTTTTTTATTGAAAGTAAATACAAATGTTTTATTAAACTCGAAGGATGATTATGTAAAAATATTTATATTATGTATATTATTGAATAAATGAAATATTTGGAGAAAAAAATATGTTATAGTTGTCTAGAAAATAAATGGAGTATCAAGTAGTATAACTCAATATTCGTTGCGTTAATAGCAGTTATTTGTTTAATGATTGAATGTGATGTTAATTATTTCAGGAAAAAAACTATTTTAAATAAAATAAATATTATAAAATAAGACAACTTACCAAAAATTGTTAAATAAACCGGTCAAAAAGTCTCTTCGTCGGTGACAAGTAATCCAAAATCTTCACCAGTGACTTCAAATAATAATTGTCAATGATAAAATGAACAATTCACGAGAAAATAATGAAAATTCATCAAAACTCACGTACAATAATCACAATAAAACCATATCAGTACATAAAAAACGAACTGTATATAAATAATAAAAACCGAACAAGTTGAAATGTTGTAAATGTATTGGCAAATAGAGTTGACTAGTTGATCACTTAATCAGCACCTCAGGTAATTCATAATGATAATTTTAGTGGTTAAAACACTCAGATATTGTACAGCTGAAGTTCGAAAGACGAAGTATCGAAAAATGTCAGAATGGGAGAAAAACAAGTATTAAGAGGGTGGAGCGAATTGAATGAGACGGGGAAATACAGAAGATGAAGAGAAGAAGATAAAAGGAAGATGAGCGAACAAGAATACACCTGGATCGTCTATTATATCAAGAAGGCGTAGGAGAGTTGAGTTGAACTTTTCACGACAACTTTGGCTGTTACGGAATCGCGTGTTCTCTCTCTCAGGTTCTCTGGTTGGGGTATCAAACCGCGCGAGGGGAAGCGGTCGGTACCAAGTCGGGCGCGGCGATGTTCACGGTTGCGTGGCGGCAGCAGCAGCACCGGGCAAACAGCGCTCAGACAGTTGTAGGGCGTGTTCAAATACAGGCGTTTCTTGATCGCAAACCTCATAGAGGGGATCCAATGAAAAAGATACCATTTGCGCGAGCGCACTCGCTCTCTCGACTCGATGTCAAAATTGTGGCAACGTTGCGCTGTCTACATGACGATGACAACTGGTAGTGGTACAGCGTATACCCGTACTTCAAATCCGGTTCCGGAATACGCACTGATCGTGCAACACATAGCCAAGTGGAGCTTGGAAAGATTTAGAAATGGATTATGGAGCTCTGTTGAATGGAAGAAAGTCATTTACATTCTCGAGAAGATGCTCTCGAAAGCTTCGCTATATCAAATTTACTATTTCACTGATGAAATTAAACATTTCTCAACATCAGATGATATGTTGATAAAAACTCTGATAGTCCTCGTTCTATCACAAATCATTTTATATTTTATTTTCTTCTCTAACAAAATTTTTTTTCAATCACACCGTCATCAGAATTTCGAAACCTTTTTTCTTCTTGGATCCAGTATTTCTTTAATTGTTCATTAAGTGAGCAAATGTTTATTAAGCTATGTCATTTATGATAATCAAAAATATTCCAGTTTTTGGAATTTAAAATAATAATTTATTCTCGTTTACAACTTTTTGATAACGTAAACGTATCCTGAGCTTTATCAAAAAATCTCCTCCTGTCTGTCTGAATATTAAAAAAAATTTCTAATATATTTTTTCTAAGTTTCAAAATTAAATGAAAAATTATTTTACACTAATTTTCAGTATTTATTTACCCTTATCAAAATAAAATGTAAAATAAATCTGGACGCTAATGCAACAGATAATTGTTGAACATATATAAGTTATAGACTCGGTTAATGCTATTCAAAATCCTAGAAGGGTTTTGTAATATATGTAAGCCTATTGACATATCAATACTCATCAATTGATACAATATTTTAACGATATATTACTGAAAAGAAGAAAATAATTACATGACATTACTCTGAGGAAAAAAAAGTATCAAGTATGTTTAATTTTCATCTCATTAATTTCTAAGAATTAAAGCAAAAAGGTATTATGGATTGGTGAATCAAATGAAATGAAAAGGGTTTATCCTTCATAATGGGAGGTTAATCTTCACTTCAAATAACTGATGAGATGATTGTTATAACTATGATGCGTAAGCCCACTAAGGAATAGAACCAATTTGATTTAAAATATTTTTATAATATTGTTGTTGTATATTCAGGTAAATAACCACTGGTAGTGGTATGTAGTATACCCACAACATAGCAATTTAACTTGCTCACGTGCGAGCGGTTAATGCTCTTACAGGATTTCGAAAAGATCAGCCCGTATTACTATACTATTAGCGTAGCTAAAACCGGCTTGCTTTCATAAACCTGCACCAAAGTGACGCCACTTTAACCCCGTGATACGTTCATTCATAAATTCTCGGCTAATTTACTCCTACTTCGATAGATTGATAGATAATATGTATATTTCATTTTGTGTCCATACCCGTAACAGATACAATTGAATCAACGTTTTATCCTCTAAGTCGTTGTTTGAAACTTCAATTACCGATATAAATATGCATATTTATCAATGTGAATGATTTTTATTTTTTCAATAGGCTTACAAATGTCATTCGAAGTTAAATTGTTGAAAGATAAACAATGCTTTTAAGCTTTGAAAAATTTTTTCTTCAATACTCCAAGAATTTTTTCACTCCAAATACTTCCATTTTTTGAATAGAGCAGATTTTTTAAAGCTTCGAAAAATTCCGAGCTTACTTTTCAACATAGTTTTTTAATATTTTTCTATATATTAAAAGAATAAATAGGAATAACATTTTTTTGATAGAAAAATCTAGTGAAGACTTTTTTTCCAAATCAGTTATTCAATGTAATGAAAAAAAAATTTCAAATGATTTTATTTATGTTTTATAGATAAAATTGTTCTGAAAAAATAATTTAAATTTTACTTTTTTTGAGTTATAGTACTTTATATTTAACTCCGATATTTAGTAAATCTATTGATGTCCTGCTGTATAGAATATACTACATAATTCACTTTGCTAACATATTCCCAACTCATTATTGGCAGAAGTCTATATTGAAACTGATTCGAGCCAAGCTTCTTACGAAACTCACCTATAAGTCGTCTTAAAGTCAATGAAATACTAATATTAAATAGTTGAGTAAATATTTAACACAATTTTTCTTGTCGATGATACGTGTAATCTAATATGTTTAAATCAACTTTCTTAAAAAGAATTAATATATATTTATTGATAAAAAAAAATCATTCTGATTTAAATTAAAATCATGCTTCTAGAATTAATATACTCAAACTTATATTTTCACAGACACATCTTCAATTTATGTGACTTTTATTCGTCGATAACTTTTTGTCAAAGACTCATTATCAATAATAATAATAATAATAATAATAATAATAATAATAATAATAATAATAATAATATCAATAATAATAATAATAATAATTAAATGATATAAAATTAATCGAATAAAATTTTTCCAATTAATTAAATAGTTAAAGATTGATTTGACAAGGATGTTTTTTTCTGAATATGAAATAGTCTGGTTTCTAAATATAAATCAGACGAGTACTAGGAAAAACAGGGCGTGGGATATATCATAAGAATTTTCAATATTTCGATTGTCATCATGACTCCGATAAATCCGCGAAAATGAACATTTAATAAACAACACATTGCGAAGGTTTTATATGTCAGAAGTCCCACAGTTCTTGACACCAGGAGTCTATTGATAATGATTGATCACAGTCAACTCGAGTTAAAGTGTATCTCGTCGAAATAAAAAAAAATTTATCGTCTAAGATATAATGTATCCTTTGAACAGTTGTCCCTGTAGATTTAAACCAGTGCTTGTATTCTTTATAATAATTGTGCCGGTCATCTTTTGACAGTCCCTGGAGGGACTATTGAGTCACAACATTGGCTTTGTAACTTTAGGGTACAGGTGTCGAACATTCAAGAAGTGCAGATCTCATGCCTACATGTCTTTTTTCCATATGATTCTTCACAATTACAATTAATATATCAATCATAGAATGAAATAAAAAATACATCATGTGGTTTAGATTGAATGGATCATATTACTCATAAGATTACAAGCAAGTGCTTCAGTTAAACACAAATAATATTGAAAATAATCGATGAAATAATAGCACCCGCAGCGTCTTCAATTTTGAGATCGATTGATACATTTCTGCAGTGTAATACTCGCGGGACTCTTGAGACAGTTTGTTGATGGGACTTGTGATACAGTGATGTGATGTTATTCCAGGTCCACCATACCTATTATGCTCTACCACGAAGTGAAAACCATCATTCAATCTTTATACGTGATCAGTTAGATTTTTAAAATCTTTCTAAACTGCCCATTTTTAATATCCTATATCTTCAGATCATCTTCATATTTAAATAAAACAATTACTCGATAAGATAATCAATTTATAATTTTCATACAGAACACAGTGGAAAAGTGAAACGCTCGAAAAAATGTACTGATTTATTAAAACAAGTTTAAAAATATTTATTGTACTATTTGTTTATCAATTTTTCAATTTATTAATGTATTAAAAATGTTTTCTTAATGTTCCACATTACCTTACCTTCCCCTACAATTTTTTATCGTTTCCGTAAAAAGATTATTGATCGAATGATCATAAATATCATTCACCAAACAGATCCTCTTTGACAAAATTAGACCTTTTTCGGAGTATCTTCCTGCTCCAAAATAATCAGTTAGACATTTCCTATTGTAAAGGAAAAAAAAAATGATATTTGTTTAATTTTGATTGTAAAAAATCAGCAACCAGTTAAAATTACTTTAAAATATTTTCCGCCTTTTTACATTTTTGTAACATGTTAGTAAATAGACACAGAATAGAGAAATTTATTGATACAAGTTTATGTTCCCACATTTATTTCTCAAATAGTCAGCCGTTTCTAATCTAAACTAACAAGTTATCTATTGTTAGTATAGATATATAGGTCTCACGACTTGCTCGTGTCTTGGCTACCTGCAATTTCGTTACTTAACTATTCAATAGAATAGAGAGTGCAGAGAAAACGGATGTCCCACCGGACGTTAAGGTTCTTCTGAGCTATACATACATACAAATGCATGGACCATCAAAACTAATGTCTCGAGCACTGCTCTTGCTCCACCCGCTTGCATTTTTCTTTCAATCGTCAGACCATAAATCATCCACTTCGTTCCATTTAATGCTGTGTATTTTTAATAAATCAATTCGGTTTTGCATCATTTTTTAATGTAAAAAAGCATCGTATGTAAATATATGTTACACCTATTGAATAGATATTCTATTATGGACATTTAAAATTCTTTCCTTCCGGAAAATTGCACTTTTAAGGTATTTCATTCTTTCACGTGGGAAATCACTTAATCATAGCCTAGGCAAATTCTAAATTGAACCAGGAAAAGAAACATACTGGTTAAAAAACCTCTTTTAGATCTTCACATTTTCTCTGACTTGATCAAGTTCAAGATACTAAAGTTTTTAAGTTTTAATATAAATGATATATTTTTATTAGCATTATTATTTAGTTGTGCTTGCAATTGAATGTTACTTTGATAAATAAATCTCCTTTTCTATAGTATTTAATAAGACATTCGATAAATTTAAAAATGATCAAGATTTATCTGAGATGCTATTTTAATTGATAAAAAGAATTTGATTAAAAAAGATTCTAAAGAAATTCCATTCGAGAAAATATAATGTGATAGATCTTTTATAATATAAAAATGACTCAATCGATTCTATTAAATTCAAAATCCTAATCAATCCTGAACACTATTTCGAGGTGTATCGAAAAAGATATTTTCAATCGGAGTTTCATTGTTCCCTAGATATCGACATGTGAATTTCTGTCGCATATATTTATTTTGAGTATTTGTA